GTGGTGAAAAGAAGGGGCACGTGTTACTTAGTCAGCTAGTAACACACCTCAAGTAATCCCCTCACGGAATACTGAAGGTGATGATTTAACATTGTATGGGTGGCGGAGCGACTTGGGGGGGGGGGGGCACCAACAAAAAAATGGTACTTTCTGGGAAAAGGGCACCTATAAAGGGAAATCTCAAAGCGATTATATACCATTGTTTTTAGACATTGGTATATACCCCTACACTGTGATTACATTACCAGGGATGATTTCAATAATTGTTCTCTTTATACATTATACAAGATATTGCTTAAGCATCATGCTTTGCAGCTGGGATAGACGGTCAGAATATCCATTTTCGAGCGAGCGAAGCGAGCGAGGAAAAACCTCATCCTGATGGGGTTATAAGCACATTCTCATAACGGAAGACTGAAAAGTCCTTTGATAAGTAACATAATTATATCATCTAAAAATGCGAGCGAGCGAGCTATGGGGGAAATTGCTCTTAGTCGCTATGAATTTGGGGCACGTTTAATGATGAGAGAAAAAGGGGACACTTATCGAAAGGGATAAGACACTTACTAGAAAAAAGAAAGGAGCATGGGTCAAAGTACAAAGGTTAATTATCACAGGTAAAAATGGGGCACTTCTTACACCTAAAAAGAGGCACTCGCCAGGGATTAAACAAAAGGCACGAATGAGAATGGGAAATGGGCATTTGTCGGCGAAAAAGGGGCACCCATTAGATCTTGATAAGGAAATTTATAAGAGGTAAAAAGGGAATAGGTCCCTTTTAGAAAGGAAAAGGGGAACGTATTATTGTTAAAGGGGAAATTATCAGAGGTGAAAAGGGGCACTTATCGCACCTGAAAAGGGGCTCTGACCAAATATAAAAAGGGGCCGCTTATGAGAATGAAAAAGGGCACTTACATTAAAGGAAAATGTGCATTTGTTGAATGAAAATGGGCAACGATCAATTTTATAATAAGGGGCATCGGAGGTGAAAGTGGGGTTTTATTAAAAGGGGGAGGGAAGTGGCTCCTATTAAAAACAAAAAGAGGCACATGTTAAAAATAAATGAAATAAACTGGGAACTTATCAAAGATGAAAAGGGGTAATTATGAAAAGGGAAGGGGCACTTGTCAAAGTAAAACGAGCATCTCTCATATTTGAATAGGGGCATTATCGAATGTGAAGGGGGCACTTATCTGAAGTGAAAAGGAGTATCTTCTTGTACCTGAAAAGGGTCATATACCATGGGAATGAAAAGAAGCATTCGTGAGAAGGGGAAATAACTTATCAGAGGTGAAAAGGGGAAGGGGCACTTTTCAAAGTAAAAGGGGCACTTTCCTATGTAGAAAAAGGGGCAATTTGGTGGTATTTGACAAAGTGGGGGCACTCTGCTCCCCCCCCCCGCTGCTCCCCCGGGATCACCGCCTCTGATTTTGTGTCACACCTAGTGAAGGCCAATGCTCGATGCAAACATGGGCGTCTCTTGAGCAAGGGGGGGGGGGGGCTCTCAAATTTGTTTAGCTGTCGGATGAATTATGTTGGATTCGGTGAACCTTGTATAGGCAAATGAATGAAATCGAGAATCATTGTTTTTACTTTGTTTCGCGTTGCTTTGATTTCCTTCAATTTGCAACGTGGAAGGGGGTGGGGATAGGATAAGAAAAGAAACATCTTCCTGCACCCTCTCCTTAATCTTTTGCCTTGCACATTTGAATTTCATTTTGCAATTAAGACAAGCACTGCCCCTACTGTTCCAGTGGTTTGATGCACACTATAAAAATGTCTTCCTCTTATGAAAAGTGCCCTGATTCAGTATATTGATTCACATTTCGTCTACCTTAAAAATAAACGTGAACATCGATCATTGGGGAGGGGGGGGGGGTAGAAAGATAGAAAATAGGCAATGAATGACATAGTAAACAATTTATATCCATATTAAGAAACACCACCTGTACATGATTAATTGGTTGATGTATTTATTGCAACATGAAATGATAATGATGCCAATTTTGCAGCAAAAGGAAAATGTATATATTTTTTCATTTGATAGTGAATGAATTTTTGGCAAGATATACCCACCTCCAATAAAAAGTTTATTTATAATAGCTAAACTTGACGTTTATTGATCGTGACTGACTGCTGATAGAGGGTGAATAGGAATGGGAGGGGTCATTAGTGTTGGGAAAGTCAACAGACTGACGACTATCATAACAAGTCCTCTTGCAGAGGTCGCCAACAGACAGAAGAACCAAGACACAACTTTTGTTGTCTTTCACATTGTAGGCGACCTCCGTCCCAATTTTCGTAATATTTATCCATTCTTTTCAGAAGTATTCAAGCGTCACCCTCGTTTTTGTTTGGAAAATGGAGTAGGCGAAGTCCAGTTTGTACGTTTGTCGTTGTGCTAAATACTGCATTCAATCATTCTAGTTTCTTGCTAAATAGTTTTCAATATTCAAGTCGCATATTTGTTTCGCTCCTAAAAGATTGAGTAACATCTAGGACTACATACATTTTTGTGCTTATCATTGTTGTTTTTGTGTGAAGTGATGAACTGACTCGGGACAATATAGCAGCAATATAGCAGAAATGGATCAACTTGTTTTATGCAAATGCATTATCTTGTGTATTAGTTAACGGACACTGTACAGATAGATTTGAAATAGGACGAGGGTGTCGCCAGGGAGATCCTTTGTCTTCCTACCTCTTTTTGTTAGTCAGTGAGATACTTGGGATCCTAATACGACACTCACATTCTTTGGGCGGATTGCATATGAATGGAAAAACGCTTAAATTGTTGCAATATGCAGACGATACCCTTTTGACACTCAACGGTTCAATGCAGGATTTACAATGTGCCCTTACAATACTTAATGACTTTGCAAATATGTCCAACCTCAAAGTCAACACGACTAAAACTCAAGTGATATGGATTGGGAAGAACAGAACTTTCAAAAAAGAGATTTTACACGAGTACAAACTTAATTGGATATCTGAGGGATATTTTAGGTACTTGGGCATAGACTTTTCAGTTAAATTATCAGAAATGGTTAATCACAACTATCAAGAAAAGGTTCAAGAGATAAACCGTCAGATGACGATATGGTTGAAAAGAACATTGACTCCCTTAGGAAGAGTTACCATAGTAAAATCTTTATTTATACCCAAATTGAACTACCTATTTTTATCTCTTCCTGAACCAAAATTAGAAATTATGAAGGATATCGATCGACGTTTTTTTGAATTTATATGGCATGGCAAACGTGATAAAATAAGTAGGAAACAAATGGGTCAATTGTACAATGAAGGCGGAGTTAAAGTGACTGACCTTTGTATGCATTGTAAATCACTTAAGATATCATGGATAAGAAGATTTATTTGTTCTGAAAGTTTCTCTCTTCATATGTTCCAATCATTCTTACCTCCACCGTATACATCTCTTCAGTTATTCATGGGGGCTGAATATTACAAAGAATTAGCCACTACAATACGAAACCCATTTTGGGAAGAAGTATTATCAGCCTTTTCAGACCTTACTCAATTCACTGTAAATGATATTGCATGTCAACCCCTTTGGAATAACCCTAAAATAAAAGTTAATGATAACGTAATTTATTATAAGTCTTGGTGCGCTAAGGGGGTACGTTTTGTTAACGATGTTTTAAAAACAGATGGATCATTTCTCTCATACTTTGATTTTCAACATAAATACAATGTACATGTAAACTTCCTTCAATATTATGGCTTTTGTAATGCTATTCGATTTGGTTTTAATAAAAATGTCATACCAAAGGTCATTGAACCTACATGTATCATCCCGGAAGCATTGTTATTAATAATAAAAGTGGAAAAAGGTTGTGCACATATATACCGTTCTTTATTGAAACATAATATAAAGGAATGTAAAAGTCTTACTAAGTGGAAACAGGAGTTTGACCTTGACAATATTGTATGGAGTTCGTATTATTTTCTTCCCTTTAATTCAACTGTCGATGTTAACATGAGGTGGTTTCAGTTCAAGTTACTGAATAGAATTCTTTATATGAAAGATGCTTTGTTAAGATTTAAATTAGTTACAGATAACTTATGTACATTCTGTAATAACAGTGTAGAAACGATTATACATATATTTTGTTACTGTATTCATACAACCGAAATATGGTCTAAACTCGAGTATTGGTTGTCTCGTAATAATGTACTTATTAAGTTTAGAAATCAAAATAAGTTGTTTGGGTTTCACGGTAATAATAACAGTGCCCTCAACTGTATTATGATTATAGTCAGGAAAGAAATTTTTGCAGCCAAATGTAAACGGTGTTTGCCAGTTTTTGAAAACATAATATCAGCGATAAAGTGTTATTATAACATGGAAAAGTATATATGTAAAACAAATCTGAAAGAACAGAAATTTGTGAAAAAGTGGTTACTTTTTGCAAAGTGTTTCTGATTGTTTATTTCTTCTAAAATCATTTTGCCAACTAAATCTGGGATATTTATGTTAAATAGTGAACTTCAATTTGTAACTGATACCGGTATCTATAAATGTATTTTCTTATCATATTTTGAATGGCCAGGAATATTATTTTGAATTTCTGCATGTAAAAACCAATTCTTGTATACATAATAATGTGAACGATATTATTTAATAAAGGATCCCTGTGGAAGGGAAAAAGAAAAAGAAAAAAAAAAAATATAGCAGGGTCACCAATGGATCATTTTCGTAATTTAATCAAATTTAATCATAGATCTTTGTAGGTGCCTCATCACAAATTATATTCCATTCACCTGTTACGAATAATTGTATTTCAATAGTCATAATGCGGATTGCATACATTCCGTGCTGCTAGGTAGGACAAGCCCTAAAGTTTGTCCTACTTAGCAACAATAATAGCACTTATCAAGGATTTATGTATTACATTTGATTACATCGTGAAAATGGTTTATTTGAACCTATCCCACACCAGGAGACAAAAGACACTTTATCATTAGAGGAATCCTCCGACATGGACTATGACAAAGAGGATTCGACATTGGAATTCAGGAATATCTGTCTGACCCTAAAGGATAAGGATGTATTGAAGAATGTATCAGGATCAGCCGAACCAGGCAAACTTCTAGCTTTGATGGGTCCTAGCGGTGAGAAATTACAGAATATTCCGGTTAAATCATATTCGAATTTATATACAGTTTGGTTCCTTTACCTTGAGACGTACATGGTTATAGTGACAAGTTATTCCATTAACCTGTTATTGACAAATGGACTACAATACTTTTAATACAATTTGCATGTAGTACTTGTTACAATGTTAGGGAAGCCTCGTGCAAGCTTTCAGGTTGTGAAGAACATGCTTTGTTCAAAACGTATGCATAAATTGTGAATATCTTAGTATTCCTGTCTTTTGTTGAGGGCAAATTTTGAGGTAACGAAAAAAACATCCAGACTTGTATTTTGCATAATAAACATTCATTGATTTTAAATATTGATTTAATTTGTATCATTACATATGGGGAGGTTAAATCGAACAAGGTCATCGAAATTTCCCGTTCGGAAAGATTTAAAGTAACGATTACTACCAATTTTGAAATAGTAAAATACAGCCCCACTTTCGCACTTGAAGAGCTCTCCGAACACTGCCGGGATTTGTGACATCACGATAGGGACCAAATTAGTATAAGCAGACGATGCCCCATAGCAATGCATGCATTGTAGTGCTTGCCTTTTCGTCTCTTCACCTATTCCCCTTACTTCACCAGTGTTATTATAACTGCTTGATCTGTTGCCTCGCTCTACATTTCGGACATGTTTTTATTATGATGAAAAATGCAGCATTTGAAAAATAATAAAGGAATCGGATGTATCTTCAATATGGCTTGTAACGAAGACATCATTGTACATTTAGATGCTTACATGCATGAGCGGCGATTTCTTTTCATGACCGAGGGAGGACAAAATGCGAGGGATGAGAATGCATAGTGAACGAGAGGGCGAGGGTGACAGTAATATTATGGGAGGGAGCGTAGCGACCGAGCAAGAAGTATTTGCATTTCTATCAGTATTTACCTCTTAAACAAATTGAGATGAAATATGTAATTTATGTTTATCCATACTGGTTCAGGGGCTGGTAAGACGATGCTGCTTACCGCCTTGGCTGGTCGCTACCAGGGAACTCAGAAGGGTCAGGTGCTGCTAGGTCAGAAACCAATGGACAAGACCCTGAGAAGAAAAATTAGCTTCGTCCTACAAGAAGATGTCTTCTTTGACCAACTGACTCTACGAGATACTTTAATGGTATTACATCATTTACTTATCACTGTCTTTATTTGTATTTACTGATTTTACAGAAACATAACTTTCTTAACCATCGGTCATTATGATTAACAAGTTCCCGATGAGCATGTCCTAACGGTATCTCCGTTGAGTACTATAACACATTCTATTTTTTCTTTGTAATAGCAAAATGTTTTTAAATGTTCATTTAAAATGACATGGTTACGAGATGCTGGTGTTACTTACACGCAGGCATGGGTCCAGGTTTTTTAAGGGGGAAGATGGCAATGTAAACAGTACATGCATGTGAAAAGGTGATATGAACTTATCACATGTTTAGACGCCTTTGGGGTCAAAAGTTTGAAAAAGACACGGTTTCTCGAACGTGTACTTCAGATTTGCCAACAAGGTTTATAAGATGATGGGCTAGCCCCCCCCCCCCCGTGATATTTAGTCTTACACACTGTTGTGACCTCATCATAGCATTTCACACTTTTCTAAAGTTTGCTTGCATTACCTTAACTAAATTAATATAATAATAAAGCAATCATTACAACAATTAAAGTAGTGGATGATGGAATAATTTTAAATTAACTTTACTATTTCAAGCACTTTGTTGTATCTTGATTCAGTATACAGCCCAGCTAAGGTTACCTGAGAAAATGTCCATTGACGAGAAGAGGAGCCGAGTGAGGAATATTGTCACGACCCTTGGACTACAAAAATGCCTTAACACGAGTACGTCTATAATCATAGTATTGAATACTAGTCTTTCAGAGTTGATGTCCACATTGAAGGCTCGTGAACAATGCTTAAGTAGATACTTTGACCCTTCAAAACAAGTGGAATTAATACAATGTAGTTGTGAATCATTTCGTGAAAGCGTCCTTTGATTTGATTGATTTGATACGATTAGATTTAATTTCTCTTCATGGTCTTTTCAAAATTACAAACTGATAACAACATTATTATGATAACCAACAAATCATATCACTAGTACATCATCAAATTGAAAATTGACTAATTGATAGATATATTGATTGATTATTTGGTTGGTTGGTTGGTTGATTGATTGATTGATTAAAATATTAATTATTCAAACATAGATTATAAAGACAAAAATAATTAGTAATCAAAAGGAGAACAAAATGTTTATTACAGACTTGATACTACTTTCCTTCATCTGTTATTTGAGTATCATTTGACAAGTGGAACGTGGGAATAAAAAGAAATTAAAAATATTATCGGAAATTTTTGTTTAAATTTGTTAATGACGTCCACCCCCCCCCCTCCCCTCCCCATCAAAATAGTTAGGCTATGATACTGTTTGACATCCATCGGTCTCACTTTATTTCTTTACCTTTTTAATCTGCTATTAACAGAGATGGGTAACTCCCTAAGTAGGGGGCTATCTGGTGGTGAGAAGAAGCGGGCTAACATCGGCTGTGAGTTACTTACTGATCCGGATGTTCTCCTGCTAGATGTGAGTTGAGATGTTTGTGGTTTCCCTTTTCTCTTGCCAACATGTCATTATCATGATGCAGACTGGACTTGAACCATCCGGAGCTCATTTGCTTTAACAGTTTAGGGCAAACCGTTCGGAAATCGCAAATGATAGTTGATACGGAGCGACAAAATTTTATGCTCGCTAGTCACTTCCAAGCTGTTTCTATCCCATAAAGTCATGATAAATAACTTGATATATCGCTACTAAATGTCACGTGACATTCCGTTGATTGCACATTTTGCAAAATGTTCCCTTTTATTTCCCTACGAATTCATTTCAAAATTAGATTTTCAAATATTGCCGACTTCGAGGCCTACATTCATGGGGAATTTGATTCATTTTTATTTCAAGAATGGATTTAATGATTAACTTGCGCTTTTCATTAAGAAATTGTTTTGTTTCTTCAATCTAGAGGAAACTACCATATAATAATAACAATAACAATAACAATAACAATAATAATAATAATAATAATAATAATAAAACGGTGCTTTTCCACCGGAAGTCTCTTAGCACTATATTGACTATCAAGTTTTATATTCTCCCTGTATGTTGTCCCAACAGAAAAGAAAAGTTAAAGGTAAACTCGCATAATTTCTTAGACACATGGGGTAACGCCCCATTCCCCTCTCCTTCGCCCCTTGTCTGAACATTTTGTAAGATTGTCACTTGGTGCAGGGAGGTGAAAGAAAAGGAGGCGCAACTCTTGTAATTTATTCAAACGCATTCTTGAGTTCTAAAGCGTAACAATGGGATGTGTAACATTCCACTTGGCTTTGAAGTTCCATGCTCCGAACCGCGCTTCCACTGCGGGGACTTTCGGAAGCCCGGCGGAAGCCAGGCACCAGTTTTACATTTATTACAAAATATTAAATTACCGGCAAAATTTCAGTGTAAATCAAAAACTTTATATGGGGATTTTATTGGGAATAGTGCATCAAACAAATTTTCAAATTTAGAACTCCGTCCTTCCTTTAATTTGTGTGCCAGAGTTGGTAAAAGAAAAATTACATCCTGTCAAAAACTCAATATTTTAGGATGATGCGCTAATTTGTGCATGCTTTAATCTCCCGTTATTTGATCCATGATTTACAATCTTCAAAAACATTAAGTTTGCTAATGCGTGTTTTCGCGTGTTTTTTTGTATTTTTAAAGTTTAAAAAAGGATGAAAGTACACAAGTTTGTGTTCGCTTGTTCTACTCTTTACACATTCAACAATGGATGAGAAATCATTGAAAGGGACAGCGAACAGTTGCAGTGATACTATTTTTTGATGTAGGAATTCTAAATCCTGAAATTTCATGCGCTCTTTTATCTCACCACCTGGTCAACAGTTGCAGATTAGCGCATAACTTTTCGGCGGCTTGGAGCATGGGGTCAAAGGAGAGCGGCTTGATTCCTTTCCTTCTCTATCACGTCCCTGCTTGGTGGAAGGGGTATGATTTTACGCGTGTGCGATTGAATCACAAAGAAGGCTTATGACATATCGTCAATGCACCATTACACACAGGTGTAGCCTATAGTTAGGCCTATATGATCACTAAGCATTATGCACTTTCCCTAGACACGATCCTATTTTCACCTCTAACAACTGTTAGATGAACAAGTGTTTCGATCTGGAGCCAACTGCTACACTTCACCATAGAACTGACCTTCAGGCAACCTTTTGGTCCGAATTCACAAAGCAAGGTTTGAGCTCAGACCAAGGTTTGAGCTCAAACCTCCTTTTGTTTCGCCAAACCTCCTTTTGTTCTTTACAAACCAGGTTTGTAAAAAACGCGTAAAACGCGTCATATGACGTACGAAAACCAAGGTTTGTCGACAAACCTTCTTTGTGAATTCGGGCCTGCATGATCGTCATCAACAAGGCCCTGTGTTTTTCAATCTCGCTCTATCTCTCTCTTGTTTATCTTCTCATTCACATATTTACATATTTGGAAAATAATCATCATCATCATCAATGATAGTAATAATAGTAGTAGTAGTATTAGTAGTAATAGTAGTAATAATAACAATAATGATATTAATAAAGGCAATAGTTATAATAATAGTAATAATTGAAGAACAAAAAACAAAACTAATCAAAGTAATAAAAACAATACAACAACTTAAGTTTCCATAGCGATAATGTCGATTAATTCTACTAAAATTATATCATGACATTATCATTAAAATGGTCATTCATTTCTAGAACAACTTTGGCATTAAATGCTTCAAGTAGGAGTCGAAGGACGAAATGAAATCCCAGAACCTCTTTCGAATGTGACGTAAATTTCTTAAGCTGTATACTAAATGCACAATTTTATCAAAAATTGATTAATATATATATATCTTTTTTTTTTTATATCGATTTGATTACTAGGAACCAACATCCGGTTTAGATTCTCACGGTGCGAGCGAGCTGATTATGATGCTGAAGAAGTACGCAAGGCGTTATGGGAAAACTGTGGTAGCGTGCATTCATCAACCGTCCAGTCACACCTTCCTTACATTCGATAATCTGCTGCTTTTATCAGATGGAGAGGTATATGGCAAGGAGATGATGATGATGATGATGATGCTGGTGATGGTGACGTTGATGATGATGATGATGAGGATGATGATTTCGATGGCGATGATGTTGATGATGATAAAGATGATGATGATGGTGATGACGATGATTAATATGATGGTGATGGTGATAAAAAAATGATGAGGAGGAGGGGAGTATGATGGTGATTGTGATGGTATAGCCGTCGAATCATACGTTCCTCACATTCGATAACCAGCTGCTCAGATGAAAAGGTATTTGGCAAGGAGATTGGGGTGAAGATGATGACGATGATGATGACGATGGTGATGACTATGATGATGATGATAAAGATGATGATGATAAAGATGAGGATGATTGAGATGATGGTCGATAAGGATGAGGAAGAGGGGAGTATGATGGTGATTGTGATGGTATAGTCGTCGAATCATAAGTTCCTCACATTCGATAACCTGCTGCTCTGCTTGCTCAGGTGAAGAGGTATTTTGAAAGGGGATCAGAGTGAAGATAATGATGATGATGATGATGCCGACGATGATGATAAAGATGATTATGATGATGATGATAATGATGATAATTGAGGTAATTGAGACGATGATTGAGATTGTTGTGATGGTAATGGTGATGACAAAGGAGGAGGAGGATAGGAGTATGATTGTGATTGTGATGGTAGCCGTCTAGTCATACGTTTCTTACATTCGATAACCTGCCGCTCTAAGATGAAGAGGTAATATTATCAAGGAGATCGGAGTACGAAAAAATTGTAATGATGATGATGATAATGATAATAATATTAACAATAATAATGATAAGAGAGAGATAGAGAGAGAGAGGGGGAGTGAGCGGGGGGGGGGGGGGTTATGGTAAACGATTTATCGAAGTATAAAATGTCGCTTGGAATTAAACTATTCCATCGCAAAATAACCATGATCTCAACATCTACATAATTTTATTTATATTCTAAAAAAAAAAAATTTTATACTCATTTTTTGTTTAATAAAAAAAAATTCTGCTGATAACAAAACAGAAAGGGTCCAATCATGTACTTCAACTGAGTAAGTTACTACATGCAAATCTTGTTTTCCTGTACAGGTTATCTATTTTGGACAAGCTGGTCGAGTCATTGATTATTTCGCCCATCTTGGGTTGCGTTGTTCTCGGCATTATAACCCGGCAGATTTTGTTAGTAAGTGAAAGTTAACTGGTCAGTCGCTAGTTTCGTTAACCTGTATACCTTGGCTTGTAACATTGTGTACAGTTACAATCGTGGGGGCAGCTTTGCTCAGATCTATACATATACAGGTATATACACTGACGAATGCATGTAATTGCCGCTTTTATCTAAGATGCATCGAACGTGTCTAAATAATGAACATCTGCTACGGAGCAGGGCTTTAAAATTAATATTGTATATACAGGTGTATATATCATCAAATACACAAAACGAATTGCTTCAATGTAAGACACATCTAAATAATGTAAATCTGCATATGGCGGATAAGAGGTGCGGTGACCTAGCTGAAGTTTTCGGAACTCCCTAGATTCGGGACAATCAATATTAAAATATTCTGGTAGCTGCCTGTCCTCGATTGTATAGAGCCCGATGAAAAATCAATGAAATACACAATGAAAAGCGGTTTTGCAAATTAACATTTTCTTTGAAACTCAGAAAGATAATACATTATGCACTGTCAGAGAAATTGCAGAAAAAAAATCACGGCATAAAGTTTAACTTCAAATCATAAAAGGGGATTTTTAAATAAAAACATACATGACTTTGTATAATTATGAACAGTATAAAACCTTCATCTTCACATTTCTATCACTGTTATTTAGTCGATAAAATGAAAGGATCTAGAGCAGAGAAGGAGACACTCTTCCGAGCCGCTCGCCTGCAGACCTGGGAGCTCACACCCTTAGGGTCCGAGGTTCGAACCGTGAGCGAGCATGTGAATAGAATGGAGGAGGGAGGAAACGCGGTTCAATTCAATCTAGGTGAGTTAGGGTGGTGGTTTAGTGGTTTAATTCGCGTCTGTTCAAAACACAGTCGTAAAGATTTTCAAGAAATCAAATCAAGGAAAATTAATACCTTATTGTGTCACCTATAGAAATCATGTTTAGAGTATGGAATATTCCGTTGCTATGTTTAAAATTTCAATCGTGCAGGAAGGACTTTAGATTGCCTGAGGTTGCATCTTTTGCAATTCTTTGCGATCGAATCAATATCGTTAAAATCCATGACATGAATGCCAGTGGCGGATCCAGGTTTTTTGTAAGGAGAGGGGAGGGGGAGACACTATTCTGACAAGCGGGAGATAAAGGGTTATCAGATGTTTTGAGCGCCTTGGTGTCTTGGTCAACAATTTGAAAAGCGCGGGCCACTTTTGTGTACTTGAGGTATATACAGTTGTTTTTAAAATGATGGGCACAGTTGTCCGTCCCTTCCCCTCAAATAAAAAAAAAAAAGTAATGTGTGATGAATGCAATAGGAGCGGAACAGAAAATCTATATGTTTACATTCAGGAAATTCGATTTGAATTGGACGATTAACAAAGTTGGATGATATAAATTGTGACACCAAATTGGGTTGCCAAACATGCACAAGACATTTGGGATTGTGAAAACTATGTTCATGCAATGTGAGGCACAAAATGCGTTATATGTAGATACTTTCTCCCCTCCCTTCCCTCTGTCTGTATCTCTCCCCCCCCCCCCCTCTCTCTCTCTCTCTCTCTCTCTCTCTCTCTCTCTCTCTCTCTCTCTCTCTCAGCTCTCTCTGTAGATGAGATCCAGCCAGGCCCCAGCGCACGTCGTTCCATCTTCATGGCCCTGCCCGGGCTGGGCACTCGGTACAAGCAATCCCCCAGTAGTGGGGCGGGGCGGCAGCCTAGGGGCATCCGGGCCTCTTTTGCTCAGAGTGGCTACGCCATGCAGCAGCCAATGGTCAGCAGAATGTCCATCGCGGGGCTGCACGACCTAGAGCAGATCAAAGAACACTTCAAGGAGGACAAGAATGACAAGTGGCCAACAAGTTTCTGGCATCAGGTTCGGACGCCTTGCTTCTAATTTGATTCCATGTTTGATTTGACATTCATTTATTTTCCATAAACATCATCATACATATATATATATATATTTTCAACATGATTCACATAAAACCATTCTTAGACAAAAGAAGTCGTCGTAAGTACAGCTTGAGCTGACGTAAGCATGATCTTTCTCTTCATCAGAACTGCCAGTATCATCATCTAATTAACATTCTAACGTTTATTCTTGGTTTGCACATTATAGTTATGCACGCTCTCCGACCGTAACTTCAAGCAGTACCGGACCATCATCCTCTCTCGCCTCGAGTTAGCCCGTCATCTTCTCCTCGGATGCTTCATCGGAGCCCTCTATTTCAGGGTGGATCATATTGAGGAGAGGATACGGGACATTACCGGGATGGTACGTGATGTCTCTTCCTGGACTATTTTATAGTCACGATGCATTTGGGTGTCAATGATCAAGGGGGCAAGCCCATGCCCGTTTCATATTTACAGAGATAGTTGTGACACGCTTACGCCCGCCCTCCAAAGTCATTTCATAATGTTCAGGAAGCTCGAAAAGTTGCATCACATAAACCTCTATGAGAGGGAACTATTTCAGTGTTCCAAAAAAAAACTCGAACTTAAGAAAGAGTGCAACTTGCTGGCAGAGTCCTATGTCACGTTTAATACTATTGTTTTTAAATCCTATTTTGGTATACTTAATATCTCAAATACACACAAGAAAAATATAATAGACTTCCTGTTCCAGTGCCCCCACTAAATTTTTATTAAATCCTAACTTTTGTGATTGCTTGTCTCCTCCTTCTTATCAGAATATATTTGGAATGCCCCCACACCCTCTTTTACAGATTCCAAGATCTACAATGTACACTGTATATTGATCAAAGTTAAATGGATATAGCAACTTTGAATTTAAGAATACACTGAATGAAATAGATCAAATGTATGTTAAACAAAAGGCAACTTACAGGATGCAAATAAAAAATATAACACTTCGGTTAAAAAAATATTCCCGAAATCAGGAGCAGCTAGATTTTATGCGACAGCGTTTGGACGCAAGAAATTTTTCAACTTTTTTCAACCTTTTAAATATTGAAAAATGTTCCATATCGTGCATGGAAATCATCTGAATTTACTCTATGGTATCTGTTTTAGATAATTCTAATTTTGATTCTTCTCTGACTCGTTTTGCCCAAGAAACTGTCCAAGCATTTTTGTTCTTACATCTTAAGCTATAAAACTAATCAATAATTCTCACGACAATTTTTATATTGTAGATACTTTGATTTACTTTTTGGTGGAGGCTTACTCAAAATAATTTAAGCTATTTCAAGTATCAATGCTGTTTTCCTTGTTATGTTTGATGACATTATAATATGAAATACATTTAGTTAGCAACGATATGATTTCATCAGCTTACATGGTACATGTATTTTACTTGAGTATTCTCCCCCTAAAAATCTCTACTTTTTCTCCTTTTTTCCCCAGATGTTCTTCATCATTGTATATTGGTCTTTTGAGTCCATATTTGGTGCAATAAGTGCTTGTAAGTATACAAAAACACGATCGCAGATATTTCCGAAAAAAAAATAATCTTAAGGGCAATTTTAATAACCTAGTATACATCCCGTAGAACTCATGTTCAGATTACGTAATACGTCATGATCGTCAAATTCGCATATTTCAAGAGGTGACGTATAGGACTATTGGAATTGCATTAATTATTAAGTTGATTTCCCGGAAATAGTTGCGATCATGCTAATCATCAATCTTCTTCTTCCTCCTCCTCCTTCTTCTTCCTCTTTTTCTTCTTCTTCTTCCTTTTCTTCTTCTCCTCCTCCTTCTTCTTCTTCTTCTTCTTCTTTTTTTCTTCTTCTTCTTCTTCTTCTGCTGCTGATTCTTCTTCTGCTGCTGATTCTTCTTCTTCTTCATCTTCTTCTTCTCCTCCTCCTTCTCCTTTTTCTTCTTCTTCTTCTTCTTCTTCTTCTTCTTCTTCTTCTTCTTCTTCTTCTTCTTCTGCTTCTTCTTCTTCTTTTTCTTCTTCTTCTTCTTCTTCTTCTTCTTCTTCTTCTTCTTCTTCTTCTACTTCTTCTTCTTCTTCTTCTTCTTCTTCTCCTCCTCCTCGTTCTTCTTCTTCTTCTTCTTCTTCTTCTTCTTTTCTTCTTCTTCTTCTTCTTCTTCTTCTTCTTCTTCTTCTTCTTCTTCTTCTTCTGCTGCAGATTCTTCTTCTTCATCTTCTTCTTCTTCTTCTCCTCCTCCTTCTTCTTCTTCTTCTTCTGCTTCTTCTTCTTCTTCTTCTGCTGCTGATTCTTCTTCTTCATCTTCTTCTTCTTCTTCTCCTCCTCCTTCTTCTTCTTCTTCTTCTTCTTCTTCTTCTTCTTCTTCTTCTTCTGCTGCTGATTCTTCTTCTCCATCTTCTTCTTCTTCTCCTCCTCCTTCTTCTTCTTCTTCTTCTTCTTCCTTTTCTTCTTCTTCTACTTCTTCTTCTTCTTCTTCTTCTTCTTCTTCTTCTTCTTCTTCTTCTTCTTCTTCTTCTTCTTCTTCTTCTTCTTCTTGTCTACAATTTTTCTTTTCATTTGATGTTTCCGTTGTAGCCAAATCCTCATCCTTCAACTAAATTTTATTTGATGATACACCCCCTGCATTTTCTTCATGTCTCCAGTATTTCTATTTTTAGGGAAGCTATATGGGTGGTATGGTTACTTTGTCACGACTTGTCAGTCACGCAACTGTTTCTTTAAAGGTATTACAAAGTTTTGGTATGGGGTCATGAATTTGATTCAAATTAACATATTGGAAGCATATGCGTTCCTACAATATACATTGATCGTTGTCGCGGTTGAAATCGAGTCTAAAGTTATGAAATTATAAATAATAAACTTTTTATGTTTTATATCTCCCTCTCAAGGTCAAGATATTAATTTAGCTATGAAACAATGTTTCTTGACCAAAATCGACCGTTTAGCTATTCCCGTTTGGAAATTATATATCTCAACTACATATTCTGAGATTTTCATGGTCGCAGCTACCATTGTACGGCCATAGGCGCTATTTGAAATTTATCAAAATTTACCGGGAGCACCGGTAAATTTGTATATTCAATTTTTCTCGAAAAAAGAAGTGTTTTAGGGGCTAATTTTTTTAGTGCTTATAATACATCCACAGGGGCATCAAAATATATCAAAATTGTAAAGATTCACTATCCACCCAATTTTCAAAATTTCACAAAACTTTGTATTACCTTTAATAGCAAAAGATTGGTTATGATGAGTTTATGTGGTTCACACGTTCACGCACATCAGCCTATAAACAGAGGTTTATTAATCATTAAACACTTTGTTATATTTCCGTACAGAAGCACTTAGGGGAAAGTGGGGCATAATGGAACACTTAATTTCAAACTTGCAATATGACGTCATCAACGACACAAAAACAGTAAAAATAACAGTTTCAGATAGATGTTGTATGCACTTTATTATGTCAACGAAAAACCGACAAAAACCACGGTAAAATTGCAGAGAAACTCGAAACGAATTTTACAAAAGAAAAATCCAACTTGCCCCATCCCTGAGGCATAATGGCACTCCCCCCTGGGGCAAAATGGATCTACGGATCCGTATTGCCCCATCAGAACTCTAACGTTCTATATTGAGTAATGTACCTAAAGTAACTTTAAGCAAACTTGGTGGGCAGAGCTGCATAATGAAAGCCTATAGTAGTTTCAAACATTTATGGGGCAAAACTGGAAAGGTTATCGTAATAAAGCCTGGTTTAAAAGTAGAAAATGTAGACTTGTAAAATGTGCACTACACTCTCAATTTCTTAGACTGGAATCTGGGTCAAATTTTCGTTCTGATACAACCACTAGTCACGTAAACCAACTGCTAGGCACATACTTTGAATTCAGCTAACTTATACAGTATCTAAAACTGGCTGGGAAACTAGAACAACTATCGATTTGTTTTATGAACCAACTACTTTCAGAATGGAACATGAAACATTGGTAAACAGGCCCCTATAAAAAGGGCGAAAACAGTATTTTGTTTATTTTTGTGAATTATTTTACAAGACAAAACAAAATTAGTAATGTTGATTTTTATTCCCTTTATGCATTTGTTGTCTCTGTGCTATAATGTCGCCATAATTAAAGCACCTACTGGCTCAACAATGAATGGTATTTGGAAATAAAGAGTGGAGAACGTTTAACTTATAAAAATACAACGAGAAAATCCAAATTTAATGATAAAAATACATATATGCATACACACAAGTGCACACGCACATTCACTCAACCATTCAGTCTTTAGGACCAACAGGGACACCATAACATCCATTTTGCCCCAATGACATGTTTTTTAATAAAAGTTTGCGTAGAAAATACCTGAAGCATAGTTGGCATGCAAACAGGCGAGTCTAACGTTGATATCTTTATGATTAATATATACAAATATTTGATTAGAATCGATACCAAAATTACCAAATTTCAGCCTTATGAACATCCCCTTACTTTAGATCATGAGGCTGTAATTTTTTGGATGGGATCTTACTCCGATGTGCCTCGATGTAACCGGATGAAAATTCAGTGCTAAAATTATTTTGGCATCTTCTCTTCTTTAAAGAATTTGCACAGAGGGCGACCTTTTTTTAACATATGCTAATTTCAAAGTTCCATTTTGCCCCCCCGGGTCCGTTATGCCCCACTTTCCCCTAATTACAACTAAAATATCATCACGCAAAATCGTGAGCTATTAATATCTAACTGATGATCAATGATAATACAATATAAAAAAAATCAAAGTTACTTTCGCGCAAATTTTTGTTTTCTACTTACTTAAACAAAAACAACAACAACAACACAATTTTTTTTTGCATTTTTCTTACACAAATGGCAGATTCTATTTTTGTTGCTGATTCATATCGTTCTATTTTGGTCTACATGCATGTAGCCATTTTGTTGAGCAATGTCTCGTGAGTGAGTCGGTACACCCTTCTAAAAACTGTTTAATACAATATAGGCCTACTCATATCTTACTTCTCCGTCCGCTACACTGTTTTAATTAAACAAATATATGTTGCACCCACAAATTTATCATAGAATATGAACTCTATCTTTGCTTTAAGGCCTGTAAAAGTTACATTGAAATATTCGACTTTTTGTTAGGGGTGTGCTGATGGATACGGTACATCTAAGGATAAAGAATAACCGTGCCAAAGTTAACAAGTCTGCCTAGGAATGTTGGGTGAATACAAGAAAATGAATAAATAAAATAAATATTGAAATAAAGAAATAAAATGATGACTTACCATCTTCATGATTTCATCGCAGTCCCACAGGAGCGGGCAATCATCAACAAGGAGCGTTCAGCTGGAGCCTACCGTCTCTCCAGCTACTTCTTCTCGAAGATCCTGAGCGAGCTCCCTCTCAAGCTTGCACTCCCTTTCTGCTCCTCATCCATCGCCTATTGGCTGGCAGGTCTCAATCCAGCCCCTGGTGTCTTTGTAGGCTTTACGATCACTATACTTCTCAACAACCTAGTTGCCCATGTGAGCCTCATTCTCTTTTTTCTTAATATTATTTACAATCATATAAGAGGGAGAGTGGATTTTGGGAGTAGGGACACCTTCAAATTTGGAGCAATATAGGACAGGTTTTCGTCGACAGGTTTAGAAAGAAACTAAACAACAGTTAAGTTTGCAAATCCCTTTTCATGTTTGTTGACATTAAGTTTGATTAACTAAAGAATAAAACAAGTGAGCTTGATACTATGTTCTTCAAATGATTAGTCATAACGAACAAATTAATATCAAATTGTTTAAATACTTGGAGAAAGATTTTTGAAAAAATCCTTGTAAACATAACACCGTCTAACATAGCACAATCAATCCGATGCAATGTGTAGGGTGTGGTGTGTGTGTATTGGGTTTTTACAGACGTGTATCAATCAGATATGATTATTTACGTCTGGGACCGACCTTTAAACGTCACCATCCGAAAGACGTGACTCAGTTTCGAACCTGCGTCCTCGGCTGAATCAGTTTGTAACTTCCACTTTTAGCTGGATTACAGGCGCACCAATGTGTAGGGGATGTCAGGTAAAAGACTAAAATGAGTTCATATATAAAAATCTATCTGGTTAGAATCATGCGGAGGGGGGGGGGGGGGGGGCTTAATCGATCACCACGACCTTTATAGCCTATCCTTTTGAAACGAGAAGTTAGATCCAAAGTTACAATTAAACAAAAAAAACTCATAAATAATAAAAAGCATTACTACAAGTATTTTCAAACGGTCAGGAGGTCCTTATTTCAATATTATGTGACTCATTACATGAATGACAGATTCGTAATGAGTGATGGAAATTGGGAGCCGGGAAATTTGCGGTACCGAAATCCACTCCTAAAAGTTAGTGTTCCTCCGGTGTTCCTCCAAATCCCGTCGAGGGGAAGCATATTCACTATCCTGATATAAGACACAACATTTAAAAAAAGGAAATGTCTTTTATATATGTTTATTTAATGTTATTTAGATGTATAATTTAATTTATTTCAAGCGAATCCCGTCAGGAATTAAGTTCAATTCTGTTTGGGTTGAGTCATTTATTTTTATGCTCATATGTTGCTAAAGAATGCTACGTTCATCTATTCAACAGTACCCTCGACCCCTTGCGTGCGAACCCTTTCCCTTTCGAACCGGCCGCATTCATTCCAAGGCATCTATTTCCTTTTAATTGAAACCCGGCGTCTGAACTCTCTCATATTATAGGTTTATTATCATCACGTGATCCCAACCATATTTGGATATTCCTTTCAGAGGACACCATTTCAAGGCGATAATGTATCTCACGGGTGTATCTTACGGATGTTTCAAAACCAAAGTGATGTTACAATCAGAAGAATACGATTTCCCCCAAAAGTACACAAATAGAAACAATATGTTTTGGTCCACAGAGTAAGCCTCTACAGTATAGTCTACACAAGACCATCATAAGAAAATGTCATTATGTATCAGCTCCAGCGGATATCGATTTGATGAGGTGATGGATGATATCTGACAGATCATATCTGATTATAAAAATGATAATATCATAACAAAGTGCCAAAGTCAAGTTACATGAGAGTTTGAAATGGAAATAACAATTTACACATACACGTATAAGCACAAAATGACTCACAATGTTCCATATTCAGTGAAATACCTGTCCAGGTTGACGATCTATTCCGAAATTTAATTGCCACTGATATAATTTGGCGATGACAGTTTTGCCCATTAATCATATTGTTTCATTTTGCTTTTTCCTCTCCGCCTCATTCTCTCTCTCTCTCTCTCTCTCTCTCTCTCTCTCTCTCTCTCTCTCTCTATTTCTGTCTCTGTATTTCTGTCTGTCTGTCTCTCTCTCTCTCCCTCCCCCTCTTTCTCTTTCTTTCAATCACCGTTTGGCAAAATAAAAAACTGTTGAAAATGGCAATCGTTTTAAGTTTTTACCACTATATTAAATTATTTGTTTTTTTATTTTATTTATTCTATTTTCATGTAACTATGAGTTTGCCTGATAAAGATATTCCATAATTTTTGCTATTACAAGTATCAATGAAAATATTCAACTGCAAACATGGTACCTACCTCAGTCAGTGGCCAGTACAAATATGATTTTAACTATCTCAAATTTTGGACTAATGACTTTTACGTGGGGATAAAAGCATTTTACTGTACCTTCAATAATAATGTTCTTGTTTTGTCATCATAGTTCAGTGGCTTCCTCATGAGCTTTTGCTTTCGTTTGAAATAATTTGAGCAACCAATCTACTAATGATCATAATTTTCAAATAAAACTATTAGAAATTAGAATGTGCCCTTTGGGTCAACAACCTCTTCCTATTTCCGTAAATTGTAGAGTGCATCCAGGAAGCAATACCTGGGGGCCTCTAAACAAAAATTTGTATTTTTAAATCCGAAATCTATGCCCGTTTCTTTGATTCTCAGGCCATCGGGCTTTTCATCGGGGCATCGACCAACTCCTTCCAGACCGCCATCGCTGGGGGCAGCCTCTACATGCTGTCTTCACTCCTCCTTGGAGGTTTCTATGCCACCACCTTCCCGTCATACATGGAATGGTTCCGGTTTACCTCTGTCATCTCATACACCTACGGCGCTGCCCTCAACATGGTATTTGCGCTCCAACCACACCCAATCAGGTGCTTGAATGAGTGAAGTGGCTGCAGGGAAGGGGGGGGGGGGGGGGTTATTTAATACGGGGGCGAAAAGGGGTCAATTTAAAGAGAAACAAGAAAGGCAGGAGGTGAAGAGGACTTGACAAGGTGACTTGACCCGCCGCCTCCCTCCGATGATATCATTGACGTAATTGCTATTCGATTGGTTTTTTAAAAAAAATAAAAAAAATAGTTATTGTAGGGCCAGCACTCCACCCCCCCCCCCCTCTTACGTTCACTGGGAAATATTTAGGTATTAAACCAGCAGGTAAGAAATATACCTCATGTCCACTGTCATAGATTGGGACTCTTTTTATTCTTATTGTTTTCATTATATTTATTGACAGCCTGAAGTGAGCATTACCAAACGAAAGAAATGTTAATATTTTAATCTTATTTAATCTTCTTCTTTTCTTTTTTTTTTCCAGGTGCAGTACTTCTGCAGTCTCGTTATTCATAGAGTGTTTACCGCCACACGACCCAGCGTCAAGCAACGTCCGAGGCGAGTCGATCGTGCTCAGAGAAGCATCGGTTGTCTTACCCATCTGGGCGTACTATGTTACACTGCTTGGTATCATGGCTGCTTTCTACCTCCTGGCCTATATGGTCCTAAGATTCGTCAGGAAACCTTCTTGACGTGATTCTGAAAAGGCGTATGACGATACGGAGTAGTAGAGCAGCTGGAAGGCACGGGAGGGGGGCAATTAAGTCCCCCTCACAAATGCCCTAAAAAGTGAAACGGGGAAAGAATGAAAGAAAGGGAGACGGGAAGGGGCGTGAAAAGGAAATGCTTAGGCCCCTCCCACACCCCCTCCCTCTAACTGATGACATTGTACATCTTACTGACTTATATACACCAGTCCCCCTTCAATAGCTAGGTTGAAACTACGACACTGATGCTTTCCTCAAATCTAAATACATGTACTTATTGCTTCTCATTGAAAAAAAAGCCATCGACGCCTCATGGAAAGAAGATATTTCGTCTTTCAAGCTACGTGGTTATAATTACAAATGTTATTGTTGCAGCGGCGTATCGAGAAAGTTATAAAAATGGTGGATGGACTTAGTTTCTGGAGTAGCGGGAGGGGGAACAAAGTAAATGCAATAATTTAGAATTCCAGGTAAAAGAGGAGACAAACTACTTTGACTTTCATTTGAAGTATTCATAAATCAATTGAATTGTGTTAATAATTTTTTCCATTTATTAGTTTCAAGATCTCATAGATATCCTAAATTGGAGAATAATCATAATTCCTATACAAACCAAGGATTTGAAGTGTGTGCAATGCGTGTCCTTGTTCATTTTGTTTATTCTAAGACATAAGAAAGACAACCCATATTCTTCAAGCGACAAAAACTCTATGTTAGCCATAAAACTGTCAGGTAATCAAATTATCAACATTGGATGACACCGCTGTATAAATTCCATCGACTTTTTGAATATATGCATTTATTATCAGTGTTGGTAACAAATTGTCACAATATTGTGTCACATAGATAAAGCGAACAAATACACAATATACATAGAAATGTTTTGGTAAATGGTAGTATACAGTGCGTCCCAGAAAAAACGAAACCGAGAATCATCGATGTTTTATCATAACTTAATCACAATTATAATTAATAAATGATACATATTTGGAAAGCTTAGATCCTCCTCTTTAATGTGATGCAACTCATACGATGCATATTTCACGCAACAGAGTTGACAAAAGACTTAACTCCGTTTCGTTGACGATCAGCCATGCACAAAGAAGACGAAAGACCTGATGCATGGCTGATCTTCAACGAAACGGAGTTAAGTCTTTTGTCAACTCTGTTTGTTTTTTCGGCAGGCAGCCAGTGAAAACGAACTCGTTTGATCAAATTATGGAAATGCAAGCATTTTTTTAAACATACAGAACTTTGTTATTCCTGGCTCATTTTTCCTGATTGAGGTGTCATTATGAAAGGGCAGAAATTGAACTTTCGAGAAATGTGATTTTCTCTTTGAAATTCAGATACCGCCCGCCAAATGACTTGTTGGTTTCCTCTCTTCAAATTGCTTTTAATCACTCATGCGTGAAATATGCATCATATGAGTTTCATCACATTAAAGAGGAGGATCTAAGCTTTCCAAATATGTGTCATTTATTAATTATAATTGTGATTAAGTTATGATAAAACATCGATGATTCTCGGTTTCGCTTTTTCTAGGACGCACTGTATATAAAATCTCAATATAAGGCTCAGCGGCGTTCATCGTATGTGTGTCAGTTTCTTTTTCAAAATTAATTGAAAAGTAAATGTTTATATTCCCAAAGTATTTTTGATATATTTTCTATTTAATATTTCTTCTTAATCTTTCATATTAGACTCTGAATAAACTTGGTAATTGTGCAATAATGTGTATTTGTGCCTGTTGTGAGTTCACATTTGAGTAACAGAAGTGTAATGCATTACGGTGGGTATACTGCCCCCTTTAAACTCGGTGTTGCCTTCCCTTAATAACACTGTATCACTCCTGTCTTCTTGGAACATATTTCGATTTAAAAAAACCCTCTATACTCGAAAATGAGCCCCCACCCCCCCCCCCCCCGCCCCCCAACCAAACTTCAGATCCGCCCCTGGTGAAATTTGCGTGAGAAGGGTTTTATTTAAGGATGAACATCGAAGAGGTTATGAGTTCATTCGGATTGAAACATTAGACTTCTAGCTTCCCTTCATGTCCAGCGTCATTAACATCGCATTTATGTATGGTCACATGCTTTATTTTTAGTAGTTCCATTCCCCAATCTTCGATAACCTTTTCAGATTCCGTTATTTATCAATATACTTTCTCTTTTCGTTTCCTCCTTTTTTTTTCGCTATCGTTTTTATATGTGGCTATCTCACTCGTTCCACTTCACCCTCCCCTATTAAATACTTTCAGGTGGTGTTACGAGAGGATATTTAGTGCCCCTCTCTCTCTGTCTCTATATTGTCTTCCATTTTCTAGATATCATTCCCCCCCCCCCCTTTCTCTCTAGCTATCCTCATTTTGTAAACAATCCTCTTCCTCTTACTAAGCCCTCATTAAATCAGTCTAACCTGTCTATTGAGGCCACCCGAGGGAAACACAGCAGTGGCCACTGTAGACAGGTGACCTTTATAGATAGGTTGTTCAAAACATATTTCCTTCTAGAGGTATGGATTACAACTATAGACGGGTAGCCTTTATAGAGATGTGGTCACTAGGACAGGTCCGACTGTATCTAATATTCTCCTTATCTCCCATCCATCCATCCTCCTCTCACTCTTTCACTCCATCTCTCCTCTCTCTCTTTCACTCCATCTCTCCTCTCACTCTTTCACTCCATCTCTCCTCTCTCTCTTTCACTCCATCTCTCCTCTCCCTCCCTCCCTTCCTTCATCCTTTCCTCTTTCTTCATCATAAATCTGTCTATTGACTACCTGTACTATGTAAAGACATAATTATGCTGCAGTGTTTGAGACTATAGTAATAATGATGTTGTGATCAGAAAGGTCAAACTGGGCATACACTTTCCTTCACTTCAGTATAAACAAAAATTAATCAAATAAAAAAATAAAAAACATGTACACTTATTAAGTTCACCACACAGCAACACTGTAAAACAAGACATATGTTTCTGAGACACCAATAATTGATTTTTTTTTTGAAATTGTTAATATAAATACAGTATAAACATTAATATATAAACATATATTTATAATTTGGAATTCATTTGAAATGGGAATGAATGCACTCATCATACATACATGTACATCATAAGCATGCCTTCTTAAATAATGTTGTCTGTTGAGAGCCAGAAGGGGTTCAATGCATGCTTTAACACAACAGATGATGAGTGAATGACATATTCAGAGTGAAATGTATGTTTCACTGTCAAATTCTCAATATCAAGATTGTCATTTTCATTTTTCTTTTTAAAGTGTTAAGACACAAACTTGGTGTGATACATTTTCAAAATACATGTAACATGTGAATGCATCGCAAGCACTCAATTTTTAACATGACAGCAGGTTGTATGTCAAACATGAACATTCAATTGTATAGATTAATTCATCATTTTGAAAGTTTGTGCAGATGTACATTACTACAAAGACACCCTGTTGAAAAGGCAACATTTTGTAAATGGATTGAAAGGCAGGGTATGCTACCGACACTAATTCAGATTTACGAGCACTGCCATCTTCTGCTCACAATGTCCCGATGTGTTGACACTTGACAGAAATGTCCCATAATGCATCACCAACTAATGAAGTACGAGTGATGATACCTGGGTCCAGGATTGGGATATCGCTCTATGCACGCCTTCAACAAAAGATGGCGCAATTGAAAATATATTGAAGCAGTGTTAGTGATTTTGGTAAAGTACCCTGCCTCCAAGCACTTGAGGTTTTGATGGCTACAACCAATGAGGACGACAGTGATTGCAACTTTTAATAGTTAATAACTTTCTAAATGTCCGATTTCATTCAAACTTTCACAAATCTACCCTTTTAATTTTTCTGCTTTCTTGTAGATTATTTTGCACTCAAGGTTGGATTTCCCTTTAAGATTGTTAACTTGCCAGACAATTAAAGTTGAGAATTAATGAGAACCCCTGGCCATTTGATCCATAACCCAGTGACTTATCCTTCAAACCACTGCACCTCAAGCACAAAGTACCTTTTAGACGACATCATCATCGTTAGCCTCCGTTTAGCATCTGGTTTTCCCTACGCAATATCAAGCAGGATTCAAGGCAACAACAAAGGTGTACAGGTTTATAGGCAAAAAGAATAAAGCTACTTGCAGCTTGTCGCAGGAAAACATCTTCCATTCACAAACACGCTGCAACTCAATGTCCAAGATCCCAGCATTGCATGTGTCTGTAGAGGTCAAAGGTCATATCAGGATCAACAGGTGCTGCTTTGACCTTTGGAGGAATAAGTCCACTTACATCTGTCTTGGCAGACTCCACTATCATTGCGGGGGAGAACATCTCCAGGATATCCGGTGGTGGGACTTCTGATGCCTGTGAAAAGAGAATAAAGTTTAACTAGTGAAAAATAGAAACTAACGATTGACACAAAACCACAATGTAGATCTTATTTGACATGGCAGTAATAGGTTGCCTAAATCACAGTGAATTCTGAGAACTGTAAAGAAGAGTGTAAGATCATTATTAATTACACTTTGCCCAATCTCTGAACACTGAAGTAACTATAGCACACGGATGAAACATTTTTTCTTACTGAAACCAAAATTACGATTCATGTACCTGGAGACAGTGATGAGCTTTCAAAAACCCACAAAAAACAATGGTCCATTTTGGACCCCATCTGCACGTAAAGATCCAGTCCAATAATTTATGAAGTGCCTGTCCAAATTACTTAAATTCTTCAAATTACTAATTTTAAAAAAATCCCAGTATGAAATCATTTCCTAATTTTTTCCTTCGAAAACATGGGTAATGTACTTCTTTTGTTGTTCACTGAGATTGTATTTAAATTGCAACATCTCTGTGTAAAAGTAATATTTGAAGCCCATATTTTGAATGCAGTGTTGCCAAATGGAACCCCTTACATCAAGAGCAAAATAGGTTGATTGGTACATTTGTATTACATGTAATAATCATAGTAATTTATAATAAACTTAGGAATTGACACTGGACTTCCATGAATCAGCGGACTTGGTCAAGCTACATGTATGTTCAACTTATACCACTTTCAAGAATGTAGGGCACTGTGACTGGGAGGGATGGGGGGGGGGGGGGTTATAGATCTTCTCTGCACCTTGTGGAAAGTCATGTAAGAGAGGGACAAGTTGATAGCGTCATGGTAAACATGTACCTTTGATGGTCTTTGGGTCCGTCGTTTCACTCTTGAGTGACGCTGGGTGAGAGCCCTTTGAAGAGTCGATTCAACAGGTACACCAACGCTGACAAGACCTATGAAGCAGTCATAATACAGTACAAGATATATGCATCATTCATTTTATTAGCTTGAGTGTGATTATGGTGATGTTACCAGCATGAGTTTGGATCTGGTGCTGCTCAGTGGCTGCCGGGCTCACGATCAATTGGGCAAAAAGAATTTCTGTTTCGGTTTAATAACATTTGGAGTGGACTATTAGGCTATTATTATTATTATAAGGTAAGAAAAACTGCCCATCTCAAGGATTACAAAAATTAATTCAGATCTACACATGTCAATGCTAATGGACTAAACATATCAAGTGGATAATACCTTTCTCCTGAAGGGAACTCACTCTTTGTATCAACTTACTTTCTCATTCCCTTTTAAAGGGAATGCCTCCGGGTAATAGTGTTGAATTTCACTTTTGTGAGCCCTGGCCCACACGTTGCTCCCTCCCTTTTCCTCTTGTATTGTTTATGTATTGCATGATCTGTCAAAATGTATTTGTATTGTGCTTTTATGATTGGCCTAATAAATAATAATAATATTAACCAAGTTTATTCACCCAAGTATTTCTTCTCATGCTTGTTGACATTGGCAGCTTCAGCAACCCTCTCACTGAAAGCCACTCGAGCTGCTTCAGAGTCCTGTAACGTCTTGACCAGAACCTCTTCAGCATTGAATGTCTCTATTTCCAACTGCTTGAGCTGATGACCCAACGCTGCTGTGGAATGGAGTTCAGGAGTAGACAATGGGGTCTTCGGGTCTACAATGCGAACATGCTTCTTACTAGTAGCACCAGTGTGCTTCTGCTTATTCTGCACGCAGGATCGAACAGTGGTTGATTTCCTTTGAAGAACTGCGTCTTTTGGAGCACTGGTTGAACTCAGTTTTGTAAGTTTATTTACTCTGGCTGCAGCGATTTCATCCTTATTTCTGGCCTCCTTTTTCGAATCTGTCTCAGGGACGCCATGTTTGATGATCTTTAAATTTTTCTGCAATATTTGGTCTCGATTAGTTCTCTCCTGCTGAAACAGGACACTTGGATGTGATATTAACCCAGGACTTGTTGTCCCCTCTTTAGAATGACTTTCACTGTCTTTGTTTAGTTCTTCAGTAACAGAACCCCGATTCTCCTTGTTTGATCCTTTTTGTTTTTCTGTTCCTCCTCTCCTTTGTCTTTGACTGGCCACAACTTGAGCTATTTTCTGTGGCTTATCTGGCGTGAGGGCTAGGAGAGGATCAAGAAAGTTGTTGAAGTCTGGTGAGCTTGTCCTCTGCATGGGTTTAGGAACAGCACCACCAGGAAGTGGATGAGGATCAATGTCTTCACTGTCAGAGGCCATTGTGACGTTGTGTTTAGGATGACCTGATCAGGTGAACAGCAAACTGCCAGAGTTTATCTCATAGTGCCTCAGTCTAAAGACCAATGTAAAGGGAGAAATATAAAATCCGTCATAAAATTTATCACTATCAGATGACACTTATGCCAGGTCAATGTATGTCGATTACATATTACATGACAAAGAATTGTTACAGAAGGCCAGTCTAGCTTAGTACATGAAAATGGAAAAGCAAGATACAAAAAATATTTGAGGATGAAAAGGGTTCATACTAACATACAAGTTACAACACAAATTCAACAAAATCTTTGAAAAGAGATGACTTCATACTTTTGCAGTTTGAATTGAATTTTCAGTAACTATGCATTTCACATGTAAAAAGAGAAACATTTTTGACATTCTGATCTTCATTACATGATTCTTAAAAAAACGATTCATCAATTTTGAGTTCATTGATGGTTCTTGAATCTAATTAATTTTGTAATTGTTAACAATTCCATAAGTAGAGATCACCCATAATGTGTGCACCAAACAGCTACGAGTATGCCACACTGAATTTCTAAAAATACAAGTAGGTGAGCATGCATGCCTTTATAGTTCGTAATGAGCAAGATCACAGTACAAAAGTGTGTATTACTAGCCTATAAACACGAGATCCTTTTGACGAAATTACACTGGAACACCAATTTTGGAAAGAAAGATACACTAAACCAGCATCTTGGTCTTGCTAGGGTACATGTAGAGTGCCCAGTATTTGGTCACTTAAGGGGAAATCACTAATATTTTGAATTCTTACCTCTTTTATTTGGCAATCTACCCACCAAAAGAAAAGAGAATTATTCCTCTAACAGGCTTTTATAGTCACTTAAAATAAAGAATGATGATAAGAAAAGTATTTCCGAAAAAAGATGGAGCATTTTACTGCCCAGAATTTGGTCGCGCCGATTAGAATTTGGTCACGCGATTTGTGCGTGGTATCTCCGTTGCCAAGGAGCTAAGCAGATTTGCGCACTATTTTCACACAATTGCGCAATAAAGCACTGAATGTCAATGCGTTGACGGAATACTGGCCGAGCGATACCGCATGGCAAGGGTATCGAATAAATACCTCTTGCACATCGGCAAGTGCGTCATTTGCAAATTCGCTGCGATGGAGTGAACACGGAAGTGATTCTCTTCACACACATACTAAATTCATTGCGACAGCGCACATAGTTGTTTCGCAATAGACTTCTACATATGGCTATGCATGTTAGCGCATGTGCTAACAGAACGCGGAAGTGCAGAAACTTCTGCAACACTGACCATTTTCAAGCTACATGTACGTTGGAGATCTTTCCGGGCCCTTAATCTGATTAAATTTTGAGAGTTAAGAAAAGTTGTTCAGCTGCCTGATTTGTGCAAGTTTCGTGGCTCATAAATTACTTTTTAAATGGTTACAGCTTGTGAAACGGCTGTCTGACCGAATACTGGGGATGGACTGAATACTGGGCGCGCTACCCTACTTATTTACTACTTAGCAGGTAAAATAATTAAACATGCAGCTGTACATGCTAATCACTTGGTCATAGACTCTACACCTCCACAATTTCTTACACCAATTTAAAAAACAATCATAAACATATTTTCTGCAACTAAAAGTCTAAATTACAGAAGAGATGTAATGGCACTATTAATACAATAACTTTAAGTTTAACTCATACTGAATCATATTCATAGTGACATAGAGTCTAGACCTAGTAGATGGTCACGGTGAAAAACATTATTACAAAGATCGAATCTGTAGAGTCTAGGCCTCATTACTTTTTGTTTTGGCAATTACTAGGAGGCTTATCATACATACCTTGTAACGCTTATGAATGAAACAAACCTCTCACATACGGATAAGTTATTTTTATTTGAGGTGAACAGGTGAATCACACACAAACTCAAACAATGGTTAATGGAATGGTAAGAGCATCTACAAACAAATTGTTCAGTATGTGGGACAACGTCTTGTTTTGGCAATTTCAAATTATTCACCATTTCATCCATTTTTCTCACTGAATCACTATCAAATTAGGCAGTACATCAACAAAAATCTTGGACCTTTTTAAAATACTTACGTAAAGAAAGAATGTCATCAAACAAGTCCACCTCCACCTCTGTCTTTTCCGTCCTATTTTCGAACTCCGAGTCTTGGGTTTGGATCTAGCGCCGACCACAATGCGCATGCGCATGACTGACGATATTCGGCTAATTTAACACTATACAGTTTTTGGATAATTTTTTATTTTTTATTTTGAGTGCCCTCGTATATGCCCAGGCGCGTACACGGGGGGGGGGGGGGGGGGGGGTGGGGGGGTTGAACCCCCTTTGGTATTTTTATGTGGGTAAACCCCAACATTTTTTTTTTTAATTATTAAAAAAAAAAAAAAAAAAAAAATGATTATGCCCATGGCTGACCTAAATAAGGTGACCTTACCCCCCCCCCCCCCCCAAAAAAAAAAGTGTCCGCTTACCCCAGATCCAACATAAATCTTATTGATTAAATCTTATTGTTGACCCTTTCCAAAATGCTATTTTATATGCTGTTTTTATATCTTGGGCGTGAAATTAATAATAACTAGACATATAATACTTGTTTGGAACAAGTATAGGTGGGCTGGTCAACTTAAATTAGAGACAAAATAGAGCAAAAATAAGCGAGATACTGCTTAAAAATTCTTAAAAAACAATATCATGTAGTTTCATGACGTGAAATTCACCCTCTATAGGGATAACGCAAATTATGAAATGTTTGACATGAGGCCTTCAATCGAGATTTTCACTATAATGACGTCATCAAAATGAAAAATGGTTATTATTGAGCTTGTAGAGAATTGTCTTAGCTACAACATATCAAAATTTTGAAGAAAATTGATCAATATTTACAGAGTTACAATCAATTTAACATAAATATGCTGACGTCATAATATGCAAATTCGTATTTTTAGTTCGAAGGTCATTATGATGATGTCACGATACACTTAATGGCCAAATGAGACATGGAATCATATCTCCGACTCATACTCTATCCAAATATGAAAAAAAATTGAAGGTCACGGTTCATTCCAAAGAGCTATAATTAATTTTGTATAGGCATGTTTTTTCCATATATGCTATGTATTAAAAGCGCTCGCGCGCACTGTCATTTATCTTGAATTGACGCTCATCTTGTTATTAATGGTCATAAAGAGATAAACATGGTATCAAATTCCTTTAAAAAATATGAGAAATATCATGAAAGAAAAAAAAATGGAAATCTATGTTTTGTAATGGTGTTACGCGCGAGAACGCGCGCGCATGCACGTATGCGCGATTTTTTATAAAATGCTTAAAATGACCTGAAACGTATGCCAAAAAAATTTGAGACGATTTTGAGCATTTAAAAATTTTGCGCGCGCATTGACGCGCGGACGTACGCGCACGCGCGCGTTTTTTGACCTGAAATTTACCGGACACATATTGACCTTGATCTTGATAAATATGAATGAGAAATTACTTTTGGTTATGAAGATATGATCACGAGTTGATTTTCAATTTTTTTCACAAAATGGCGCCTAGATGACGTCATCAGTCAAGGTCAAGGTCGAAAAATTTCCTATGCTTTGTGAATATGCCTATACATATGTGTGTTAAATTTTAAGATATTTGATTGAGCCATTTTCAAATTATCTTGAACACAAAAAAGTGGGTCGAAATAAGAAAAATAAATAAATAAATAAATAAATAAATAATAAATAAAGGCGATTTTAACAAAAATATAAGGTGGTCTGTATTAGATACAGCCCACCTGATAATAATAATAGTGGCTAAAGCGCACAGGTCCGGCACCTTTCGGTGCCCACGGCGCTTAGAGAATGGACATGTAACAGACATAAAAAAGAAAAAAACAATAAACTGAAAATTCAATAGTTGACAAGAGGCTGATGGTAGTAACAAAACCTATCGCTTATAGGGATCAAAGCAACAATAATGACAAACCATCTACAGCTATACGTTGATTCTTGGTAGACCGTTTTTTTTTAAAATCTCGCCAAATGTTATGAATCTCACACCCGGTACAAGATAACCATCATCTCATCGCTTTTATCATTATTTGTTTTTAAATGATAGATATTAAATTTAAAAAGAAAACTATAACAAGAGGGGACTCTAAAAAGAAAAAAATATACCGGCACCTAAAAATGATCTAAACAAAAAGAAAGAAGTATCGGGAGCAATTGATATGGTGAGTGGAACAAAAAAGGTGAGGTTGGACAAATTGGAGCTTAATTGCACTAGCAAGAGCCTGTAGACGTCATCCAGCTCAGGAGTGACTTCTTGCTTGGCTAGAGCATCAAACATGTTTAAAGTGGGTGCATTAATAATATGGATGGCCTTGGGTAAAATCTGCATTTCTACTAAATGGTGATTTCTCAAAATTTCTGAAAATATTAAACCCCCACCTGAATTAAATTGTTTCAGTAGGCCTGCGGTAAGTGCCCCCCCCCCCCCCCCTTATCGCCAGTCGATCGCCATTGCTGGTGATATCGATATCAGAACGAGAAAGATGGCTTCATTTTACAAACCCCCGAGTCTGACGTTTGGAGTCGACACAGTAGAACTTGACAGAGCCCTTCATAATTTGGGTAAGTTACAAATAATGGGAAGGGGGATAACTTGGAAATGGTTCCTGATATGAACCGAAGTTAACATTTATACCCCTATTGTACAATCTAAACATAACTAACGCTAACTTTCATTGGAACCGGGTCTTGGAAGTCAAGTTGTGGGAGCAGCCTGACCTAGCCCTAGCCCTAGGTCTTGCCTTTCTTTCGGCTGCAGTGCAGGCTTTGCCTTGGACCGAATTTTCCGTCTCTTTCGTTCGTTAGCCTCTTATTGGGGTAGGGCCGACCCTACCCCAATAAGAGGCTAACAGAGAGCCGACCCTACCCCAATAAGAGGCCAACGAACGAAAGAGACGGAAAAATTCGGTCTAGCTTTGCCTTGCCCTTGGTGTGCGATTGTGGTTGGTACGATGCCGGTAGGATGCTATGTCCTAGATGTGTCGGGCCTGGACACCATACTAAAAATCAAATAACTTTAAGCTGTTGGGTTACCGTTTATACTGCAAATCAAGAGCATCAATCAGCTTAATACTTGTCATCTTTGAGTTTGAAGTTGTCAATATAGACCCTTGCATGCAACTCTGAGGTTTTATTTTTAGCCTTGCCTTTGCCCCTGCCCTCGGCCTTGCCTTTGCCTGTTTCTCAACTGTTGCTTTGTGCGATTTATTTTTGTTAATTCATGATACATAAAATATCCTTTCCATTTACTAGAATTTGAAAAGAAGCAACAGATCCAGGAGCTTGAGAAGGAAAAACAGCAGATTGGGAGTAAGTAGACCTAGACCCCTTTCTAAATCTTTACAAATACAAATCGTCTGTTTGGAGCAAAAAAAAGATGTTGATCATTATTTTAAGTTAATGTCCTTCCGGTTCTAAACACACAAAATAGATTTTACAATTTATATGGCCCTATATATTATTATCCTCAACATCACATTATTCATTTGGGGGTGATAAACCTGCTTTTTGATAAATGCATTGACAAATGATTGATTATACTATAGGTCTAGATCTAGTAGGTCTACAATTTAGTTACAACCTTTGTTTTTGGCAATGAGCAGAAAGAAAGAAACATTAGGTCACATAAAGTTTTAAATGCTTCAAACCTGCCTGAGCAGGAAAATAAAAGAATTATTACACAATGAAGGATTGAGAACAATTAAAAAAATGATTTCATTTGGGAATAATTGTATTAGTGAAAACATTGGGTAATTTATATTAAGAAAAATTTGGCATGGATTAGCCTTTAGATTTAATAAAAGGGGATAAATTCCCCCTTTAACGAGTTGGGTTTGAAATATTTGTTCATTTTATGAGGGTTTGTTAACTATATTTCCACACCATCTAGTTCTGGAAACATCTTTCAAAGAGAAGCAAGATGGAATCCAGAGAATGGAAGAGAAATTGTGCAGGATCGATGAAGAGACCAAGAGCTGCCATAGACAATTCAGACAGAACAAGGAGCAAAAGGAAAGGTAGATGAACTCCAAAATGATAGAAGCATGTGGATCTATCAAGATAGTTACATTGATGCAAGTGATTATCAGGCATATTAAACATGATATTCATTTTCAGAAGTGGTCATCAAAACTGTAAGTTTAAATGAGGTGAATCTGTATTTCTCTTCCCTAAAACTCCACAACACTTGTGTCTTCTTTGCAATTTCAAGAAATACCGTAAATATCTCAGTACCTAAACTTAAGTCAATGGTCTAATTTCAACATGTTTTGAGATCTGTAGTGTATTGAAAATTAATTTGATTACAAATTGTTGAATAGGCACATTTTCCAGTCAGCTCTAGCCATCAGAATGATCTAAGTCATCCTATTTTTTATTTAATCGAAAAAGATTGATGACTGAGAATAGTTTATAATCAATCTCTGGGAGTTGCTAAAGTTGAAAGATACAGTATGAGTAGACTTTATCAGTAACTAATCGGATATCTTGTGTTTCATCTCTATCCCATGCAGTCAGAAGGCACATGTGTCTGTTCTGAACTTTCATCTCGAGGCCAAGAAGAAAGAATTCCAGCTGCTGACAGAGAAATATGAAGTTGAAAAGTAAGATAAATCATTGGTAATTAATAAATTATCATATTAGGCATAATTATTGCAAACTCTTTATTCTTTAAACTCTACTGTTAGTCTGGCAAAACCCTACAAGTTTATCTTCTCCATATCAATGTATTTTTGCATCTTTTTAATGTCTTTTCATCTATCATATGTCAATTTTGACATGTTGTTCTCTGCAAATGATTGCTTTTACAGTAACAATTTAATATCTATCTGTAAATTTTGTTAAAATCATAAGTTGCTTCTAGAAAATGGTTGTTAAGAGGATGTGTACAAGCACTTAAGTTGTACAATTACAACAACAACAAAATTAATAACGACACCATTTTACAATCCTTCCTTCTTTTCTAAAAGTGCTGGGCTTCAGAGAAAATTGGAACATTACGACACGGTATGGAAGTCCTATGAAGAGATTTACATGCAGCAGGAGAATGCACAGGAACTCATGAAATGGCAGCTAGAAGTTCTGCAACAGAAAGAAGCCGTCAAAGAGGGCAGGATGCAGATTGCTCATCTGCAGAAAGCTGAAGATGCAGTGCAGGAAGAAATTTGTGCCAGTAAGTGTGTCAATTCAGTGGTTTTATGTTTGGCATTAATTTTAAAAAGAGGAAATAACAGCGAAAAAATGACTACTATGAAATGTATGGTAATAAAGCTCTATGTTTACACCTACTTTTGATTGTATGCAGGGGCAATATGTCACCATCCTAACAAAAGATAGTTGTTTTATGATAGGATTTACATGTATAGTAAGTTTAAAATTTTCAGTTTTTTAAAAATGTTTTGTGTAAATTCTTTTCAATAAGAATATTTTTATTGTAATTATTTAAAAAGATAACATAGTATTTCAACATCTTATGCTGATCAAAATTTTCAGTGGAGATAGTTCATGTGTCAAAGTGTTAGTTGGTTCTTAAATGATGTTTTGATCTTTTGTTGGCTGATAAATACAGAGCATTTCCTTTTGGGTTAGTACAATTTGATTAAGTATTCATAGTGGAGAAAATAAAAATATAATACGTCTACATCTACTGCTGATCAGCAAATTGAGATGTGATCTTAAATAGCTTGAAACATTGGGTTTATAATATCATGAATAATACTATTGTAAGGCATATAATGCTTATTCATATTGTGATCTTTGAAATCAGTGTTTATTGACTAATGACTTTAAAGGCTATTGAATAGGTCATCATTTATGCTGATCATATTTAAACTGAAGAATGATAACTTTGAGGCTGAAAAGTTCTCTTTATCTACTTTTGAAATTCTGTTCTGTAATCTTTGACTTTAAAAGTAGGGCATTCAAATATTCTAACATGTTCATGTTTTCTTTAATGAATTTTAATCTTTCATTCTACTCTCTATTGCAGATATGCCACCATTCCAAAGCGTCACAGATTTCATCATCAAAATGTATCCTTTTTTATTATGGTCATTTTTGTTGTTGATGTTTTTTATACATCTACTTACAAATATGGTTCAGTATGGGTCTGTGTAAGAACATGCATGCATGACATATTGCATAAGAAAGGGTAATTAACTTTCTTGCCAAAAAATTCTTAAAAAGCTAGATTTTGATAACAGATCTGTTCAATGTGGAATCTACATACCGTAGATAAAAAGTTTTTTTTTAAAATTCATATTAATATGTGCTTAAAATAGTCTACAATAAATCCATGCCTCTCAAATTTATGTTTCTCTTCCTTGACCCATGTAATTTCCTTAAAATAACTGGTAGTGCCGAGATAAAGGTTTCAACCCAAGAGACGCAAACGGAAACAGAGCAGCTCATGGATTCAATCTCGGTAGCTGAGAAGGAGATACAAATCCTGCAGGATACCCAAGCAGAGATCATAAAGGTAAGGGGTTGTTCCAACATTTGCTCAGATTCATAGGGTTAAAGTTAAAGTTGTAATTGAGTCGTAGGTTAGGATCAGGTATAGTGTCAGGGTTTTGTCTAATGTTCGGTCCAAGGTGAGGAAGCCAGAACAAAATCTGGCTATAAACAGAAAATAATAATTTGTTTTACCCCTTACTAAAGATGCAATAGCTTTAATGATGTTAGACTAAAAAACCTAGGAACGAAACAAAGATAAATAGAAAAAATACACAGTACTTATGTTCTTGATACTAGAAACTGGAGGAAAAGAGGAAGGAGGAAGAACAGGAAAGACAACGGATGGAGAAGGAAAAGGAGCAGAAAGAGAAGGCACAACAAGAGGAACTCGCCAGGTAGTTTACTTATCATTCAGAAATAAACTCATTTAAAACACATGTTTCAAGAATAAAATAAAGTGAAATGATAAAATCACAATGTCTGTTTGCATTTGATAAATATGATTAAATTAATTCTACTTTTTGGTAGTTTTTAAATCTGGACAGAGGAACAAATCTCAGGCTTCCCTCCTTTACTACTTTTAATAAGTTGAAATTCTTCCTTTTGAAGGCCTAGCTCAAAATCGTCATCTCTATACTTCATTTTACGAGTTTAAGGAAGCAAACACCCTTTTCATTCTTCATAAAAATCCTAAACAATAACAGCTCAAACATTTATCCCTACCCTCAAGTTAGTTTATGGAATAAGGATTATGTTTTAGTGACATTATGTAATGAAGGAAGGAATGTATTTGATGACGTATTTTAATTTCACAGGAAGAAGAAAGAAGAACAGCAGAGTGCAGCCAACAGCAAAGCCAGTGTTTATAAGTTTGGTCAGTTCCTACACCGAGCACCAACCGCAAGCCATCAGGTCCGTACTTCCAGGCCAACCTCCAAGAGGAGTGCCCCCTCTAAGCCACCCCCACTCTCTGCACGCACCCCTCTCTTGATGCCCTCTCCAGCCAGCCATGGAAGGCAGCCCTTGAGATCTTCTGCTCCCCAAGGCTCCGGGCCTGCAGCAGGTGGTGGAGGGCAGCCTCCTGTATCTCAACCCTCCTCCAGTAGGTTCTTCATCAATGTACCCCCTCGCAGCCTTGCCCTAGTGGATAGGAGTGCTAGGAGACCAGCTCCGATGCCGTACATGGGTAATAGAGGGGCTAAATCTCAGCAACTTAGTCAAATATCTCAGGTAAGAGTTGCATTTATGAACTAAGTTTTTTATTAAGATATTACAGAGTCGATTAAAATTTCTTTTTTTCAACCCCATTTATAGAGCAGTATTCAAGTCAACACATTTATCCTAAAACATCTGAGAACTTCAAATTATTGTTGCACTTTTTTTAAAAGTTGTTGTGTTTTGTAAGGGATTTAGGTCCCATTTGGGAGACCTCACAAGCAACAAAACAAATCTAATGAAGAAATATATGTATTGTAGTCATTAAAGTTTGACAGAACTAAATACCCAGGATTTCCCTTGCTTTATTTCTATAATTTTCTCCTCAAGTTATTCTTGATGACATTTCTTCCAAAACCTCTTGTGGTTCCCCAATATATATATATATTTAGCTTACGGCGTCATTAGACAGACATATGTAGTGAAAAATGAGTCTTTAAGTAGACATGGTAATGATTAACAGGACATGTTTGTGTCCTGTTAATGATTGAACAAAAGAAGTGCAGCCCTCTATATTTGTATGCAGGCAGATGAAATTGAAAGGCCTCCCACGAAACAAATTTTTTTTTTCATTAGGCATTAGTTTAATAAGTAATATTATTTTGAATTCAGGGTTAGGGTTAATATGCCAGTTGTGTCCTGTTAATTCAACAATTTGGTATATATAAATATAACACAGTCATTCAATGCCTTGTATATTTGTTTTCTTTCTATTCAACTTGTCCAGGTGATGGGCTCTCCAAGTGTAGCATTAGCTGATACCATGTACAATATGAACATACAGACTCCCACAAGGCCTACCCCACATTCCAAGACACCACTGGGACAGGTGGTTGCCCCTGCAGCTACCCCACACCAGCAGACACCCATCCAAGTAAGCTCTGGACCTGGTATGGGACCCGGAGGAGATGCACAGGTGACTATTGCAATTTACATTGTCAAATCGGACCCTGTTTCATAAGACTTGATATCAATAACAAGTTAGAAGCTACTGTTATAAGCAACTGGAATCATGGCATCTGATTGGCTGAGAGCAAGTTTGTCATAGAAATTTAGCAATTGTTTAATATGGATAACAAGTTTTATGAAACTGGCCTCAGAATCATTTGAAAACAATGAAAATCAGGGTTTTTTTAAAAGCCAAATGCCACCATAATGAGATGGGATGCATGAATAGAATGAAATCAATCTCTTCATTAAATAGTTGTTCTATGACCAAAGTGAAATAGCTTGCAGCTAACTGTCAGTTTGATGGTCATAATTCATGGTTTTGAACTGTATAGATCACATCCACTGCAGAATTCTTTTAGATTTGTATTTTTCTTGTACTCCCTAGAAAATAATTTTAATCTGAATATACAAATGTTGATGGGGTCTATTTTAAAGTTTAGGTTGGCAGTGGCTTGCAGATGCTTGAAACTCCATTTAAACAAAATGAAATCAGTTGGCTTTATAAAAATCATTCACAGTCTACTGGGTTCATTTTTAGTAGAGGACTTGGTAATAGTTTTGAGCTCTTGATGGCTTAACTGTTCTCTGTTTTTCCATACAGCCGTCTTCCCTTGTATCCAGAGACCAGCAACCAGGAGGACCAGAAGATGGGGAGATGAGCTGCATGCCTCATCAGCTGATGGAAACCGGTCCCCAGGAGAATATTGACATGGAGAGTGTGCAGGGTAGGTGGCAGGGATGTTGGCAAGGGGAGAGGGGACGTGGGGGGGGGGGGGTAACAGCCATCCCCTCATAAACCCATGTGAGCTGGATGCTATTTATTTAAAAACCTATAGAGAGAAAAGAATGTAGTTTTCAATAGGTTACCATATTCGTATTGCCATGATTCGCAATGTTGCACTGAGAACAGCGAAATTCACAAGAACTAGTATTTCTATACATTTGACCAGTTATTAAAGTTTAAGATATGGAACATAAGACAACAACAACAACAATTTTACCTTCATATAGTCATTAAAATCGTTATATTATTCCACTGAATAACCAAGTAAAGTTACAAAAAGAAGTTGAAGTTATCTCTAAGTTGGACTTAACAATTATGGAAAGCCGTAAGCATCTTACAAAACATTTTATTGAAGTTATTTTAAAATGTATAAAACGTTGATTCAAATCATTCATATTTTGTTTTATCAAGGAGGTTTCATGTTCTTGATGTGGAATTTACGAAAAGTCTAAAATACTTCAATTTTTGCTTTTGAATATATTTTATTTTAAGGCTACAAATGGCTCTCCATAATGTTTTAGTCCATTTTAGAGATAAGTTTGACTTAGAATCCTTTTGAAACACCTCCCAGAATATCCACTAACTCCTAAGAGCAGCACAGATGGGGAGAGAGCAGATGAGACGAAGACTCCTCAGACACCTGGAGAGCAGTTTGACCTGGCAGGCTTCAAGGACTTCTCCAAGTCTCCCGGGTTCAGCTATTCCTGTCGAGCGATGTTTGGTGACCCAGGTGATACAACGACGGAGGTAAGAGTTCTCTTTGGAACCAATTTGAATGTTTCATTAAAGCCCCACTCCACTACTTATATCTTCTTGCACCCTCTATATAACTAACAATACCTAAGTGTTGATTGTTGGGCCCCCATGGTCCCCTTTTTCTTATGTTAATTGAGAGCTGATTTGATGAGATAACCACCTGTCAGTGACCATGCAGGGAGGTCTAATCCCTCCTGGCCAAACTAGTGCAGAGAGGCTTTAAGATCTCATCAATTTGGGAGTTTATTACAGTTACTAGAACTCCAAAATGCAGCCTGAATATATAGCGAGGGGCTAGTGTGAATTAAACTCTCAAGACCTTCGGAGGTTTTTCTGGCTTTGCCAGATTCAAAGACTTTGGAAGTGCCAAGTACCCCGAGTTCAGCTATTCCTGCAGAGCAATGTTTGGTGATCCTGGCGATTTTTATGAGGTGATAATTCTACACAGAATCTTTTTCTGGGGAGAGGGGGTTAAAACATTATGTTCTCATTCCTTTTTAGTATTTGTTTTCCTCTCAGTCATACCGTCGGTCGAAATTCATTTCAACCGCACCTCTTCTGAGAGAACTCCACTGGTTGCCAATCCGTCAAAGAATCTCATTCAAAATATTGTTAATTGTCTATAAATCATTGAGTGGTCAAGCCCCTAATTACATCACAGAATTACTTCAACTCAAAGTCCAATCACACAGTCGTAGCCTGCGCAGTTCCACAGATAAATTATTGTTTCAGATTCCCCATGGCAAAACTAAAGTAACTCTTGGGGACCGTGCTTTTGCTATTGCTGCCCCCAAACTATGGAATAGCTTACCAATAGAAATAAAAAGCACTTCATCTCTCAATTAAATCCAATTAAAAAACTTATTTGTTCAACTGAGTGATCTTATTTTGTAGAATTTAGTAAAAAAGAGCTCTTAACCAGCGCAGCTGAATATATTTTGTATAAAAGCTGCGCTATATAAATTTATTATTATTATTATTATACCAAATCCTGAATGCACCTTGAATTAGAATTATCGGGCCTATAGAAGTACATTCATCTTTTAAAAAATGCAACTGAGGATTGCATGTAAACTAACTTGTGTAATGATAATAATTTGTGTCTAACGATATGTATCCCAAAATTAGAACACTTATGAATGTCACTTTCTTGACCCTTTTGACTTGTACCAGTCGTGTGTTAGCTTTTAGCTTGATATGTTTGATCAACCCATGGTTTAGTTTTAGAAGATCATAATCATTACAAAACTGCTTCTTGCCTTTACTTTGCAGGAACAGACTTCTAATAACAACAACAACTTCCAAGAAAATCCCTTCTTCAGTTCCTTCTTTGGAGTGGTAAGTGCAAGGAAGTGTTTTATATTTTCATACTAATTTTTGTTTATTGAGTGATAGGATGTTTCATTATTGCAATATACTTGTCATGATAATGGAAAAGTTGCTGGTGGGAGTAGGAAAGACTTCCGACTGGCAACAGATAATGAGATGATGAATTTGAATGTATATAATATTTTGTCTAAATACTTTGACACTATTAAAAAGAAAGAAGTTTCTCATGAATTTATAAATCCCTGTGACAATGAATGAGCCAAGTAGTTCATTCAGTCTCTTCACTAATTTGAGTACCTTTATATCGTTTGACCCTGGTTTGGCATTACAGAGCAGTAAGTTCTCAGACCGGCCAACTTCCCAGAGTCCTGCTCAGATGTTTGGAGGAGGTAAGTGTTTGACAGCTATTGAGTGGGTGTCAACCATTGTGTGAAGTTTCCTGGCAACGGGAAATTTTTTATTATAACAATATCTATGATAAACATCATTCATCTTTTTTCCAATGGACTTTTTAATATTTTCAAACAAATTTGTATTACCTTCATGGCCTTGCCGATCCAATATTTCAAAATATTGCCTATATTAAAGACAATTTTATTATGAAAAATATGAAGGTGTTTATTTCAAATTAGAGAACTTAAATTATGTTTTACGATGAGGATCATATTAAAATTTCCTAATCCGATGTTTTATTAGTAAAGGAGTAAAATTCATGCTCTGGTTTGCCATTTATAATCCCTTGAACAACACACACAATCCTAATGTCTTTTTCACAATTAGGGGGAAACCAGCCACCATCTACACCAGCAACACCACACACCAACCAGGGTGGGGCCATGTCAATGTTTGGGAATTCCCCTACCTCACCTCAGCCAAGTCAGACCCAGCAGGAACCAGAGTCCATGGGATTCAGCTTCAATTTTGGTGGGGAATCTCCTTCCCAGACTCCCGCTGGTGGAGAGAACGAGAGTGGGGGCAGCAGGCCAGGTGGGTTCTGCCTGTTCTAATTCTAATTCCTTTTTTGCATTAAAGACAGGGATATTGGTTTCTAGGTTGTTATCTGAATTTTGGCACTCACAACTCCTCATTTCCACATTTCCACATATCCTCAAACTCCTTGTTGTAAAATAATATACATCTTAGTGTTTTTATGTGCATTGCTTATTAAGTAAACTTAACTAGAATTCCTGTCAGATTGCAAAATTATGCAGCAAGTGTACCATTTATACATGTTAAGTATATATCCTATGTCTGTAAAATGATGTAAGCATTATAGATGAGCGAAACAATATATGTATCAGTGCTTCTTTTAGTGGAGTGTTTGACCTATTAATTATATGTTAAAAGTGTTTGATATGTAGAAATCAATTTTAACTTTTAGAAATATGTCTAAATCATTTGCTCTATCTTTCAATACTGTGCTACCAGTCAACTCTTGGTGGCGCCATGGGCACAAATACCATTCACATTACATGTAAATTATGTTTTGCATATAGGAGCAGAGTGTAGTAATATGAAAGGAACTTGCTTTTCAGTAATATGTATTGACGAGTAGTTTGCTTGGAAATGATTACAACATCAAGTTTTTAACTTTTTTTTATAACAAATATTTATTTATGATTATAACTGTAATTTTCTTCTCTTGGTATATTTAATAAATCAATAACATTGGAAATTATGAACATATTGTTTTGGGTACTATATAAGATAACAATTGATGCAAACATGAAACAAACGAGTTTGGTTTGAATATGGTTATATATGTATTGACAGTCATATTAAAAGTACTTATGGACAGAGAATGCAATTTCAAACAAAAAAACGAACAAAAACAAAAACTAATCATATATTTTGTAATGCCAATGCTCTTGCCAAATCTGAAGAGGAAAAAAAAAATCCATATTAATGAAAGTGTAATTGCCTTTAAATTTGCATTTATCAGTAATTGTTGTTTTTTATCTTCAGAAGAAAACAAAAATGCGTTTACTAATAATTTTTGATTTTGTCCATCTTTAGAAAAAAGAAAGAAATGAAGATGCTACATTTATTATCAAAAAACAACAACTTTTGGTGGCTTTCTTGTCAGCAATTTGTCTTTTTATCAATAAATTGTACTCCTCTTGTATACTCTAAGCCTTACAGAAGTCTAGGGTATTCTTTGATAGATATTTCATATACCCTTGGAATCTTTGCATATTTGCTCTCTATGTTTCTTCATGTTTCCTTGCTCATATTTCTAAATCTCTATTGATATGAAACATTAAATTTATTAAAGGTTCTCAAAAATACTTGTTGTATTTTCTATGACTTTTGTTACCCCCTTTATTGTTGTATCGCCAATTGTATTTTGCATTACAGACAGAGTAAATGTCTGAAATGGCTAATAACAGACAATATGAACATAAGAGTGGAGAAACTAAGCGAGAGAATGATGGGGGAGAGGAACTAGATAGAAAGAGAGAGATAGAGAAGAAGGGAGGTTGAGAGAGAGAGGAAGAAAGTATGAGAGATAGAAAAAGATAGTGCCGTAGGGATGGAATAGAAAAGAGGTAGAAGGGGGGGGGTTGAAAGTATTGCATTTATATAGAGAACATCAAAAGAAATGCAAATTTAACGCTTTTTGAATCATCTTTCACAATATCAAATTTATTAACATCGATATTTATCATGGAAGAAAGCATGGCATACAATGGTGATTGTTGCGACAAAATAACAATATCAATATCAGATTCTCGCGTTCACATTACATCATTTTATCATGAATAATACAACTTCTATGGCTAATACTATATTGGGGCTGGCATGCTAATGCAATGGGAAAATTGTCATTGATATACACGTACACTCAAGAGATAACATGACATTTGAAAGTTTTCGATATTGAAATATTAGCTTTGAAAAGAGGTGTTTGTCGAGCACAACAGGAGAAAACAAATTGTGTTTTCATATATTTCACATTGCGTTTTATCACATAGTATTTCGAAAAGGTCCATACCATTGACGCAGTGCATGTGAGTGAGCCCAAGCACCCCCCCCCCCCCCCCATCGGGTTCCACGACTTGCAGTAAAGCAACGCGAACTGGTTTGGCCGATTGCACCCCCGTTTTACCAATTTTTGGATACGTAATTTATACAATTAATAGAGAATATCACAATTCCCTTTAAAATCAGGAAAGATGCAAGGTAGATATCAAGATGATAACAACAATAATGAAAGAAATAGTGTAAAATGTTCACTAATCTTCCTTAGAATAATACAAATAATAATGGTGACTTCTTGTTTAGCGCACATGTCCGTCACGTCGTGACGCTCCTCGCGCTGCTCCGATTAGTATTACCCTTGCTTTTAATAGCAAGGCAGCCATTACGGCGCTCTAGCATTTCAAGGAATCAATTCTTGCCAGTTACCCATTTTCATCACCTGGGTTGAGTGTGGCAAATGTAGATCAATGTCTTGCCAAGGAACACTAGTGCCGCGGCGGGACTTGAACCGCGGACCTTGTACGTGATCCACAGTCCGGTGACGTATCCACTCGACCACGACACCTCATAGAATGTTGATTTATTCGATATCTTAGCCCATGATTATTCCTCCGATGCTATTCTGGTTGTTAATCAATCTCATAGACACAATGCTTACTTTTAGGGTTTCATCATCTTATTAATAAAGCATAAGTTAAAGGGGCACGTTCCCGCCAGTGTGGTTATCGGAACATGCCATCTGCGTAAGAGCCGTATTCTGTTGGTGTCAATAGGCAGCTATAGCGCCGTCCGCCAGCGCGTACGTATTTTGAGCGCCCTCTGGAATACGGGGAACATGCCCCTTTAACAACAAATATATACAGGCTATCCTAAATCATAAATAAATAGCAATATAAAAACATAACGTCATTACTTCTTTAACAAATGCATAAAAGAATGGTAACTGAGAAAGTCATAGCTACCAAAAATCTTCTTCACAAATAAAAGCGAAACAATATTACATCACAAGGTATTTCATTTAAAGGTTAAACACATACACGTTATACGAATAGAATTAAGGATACTAATTTATCACATAGAGTCAAGGCATTTGATAAAATGTCACACTAATAATTAAATACATGCTATTGGAATGTAAATCTAAATTACACCTACATATTCTAAAAGTTAAAAGCTAGCAATGTGCGTTTACTTTGTGATTATTCACATGTATACAGGCCTTATTAGAATCATATGGTCGACAAAGTTAGGTTGCGCCTTACTGTCTATGCGGTATTCATTTTTATTCGGCGTGGGTTCTTTGACCATAAAAATAATAAAACAATAAATGTTGAGTTAAAAAGAATATACTCATTATGATCATAAATATATGTTTTTTTTTAAATTTTGTGAAAACACTTGCCTTATTACAACATCACAAGTATTAGCTTAATGTACATCTACATAATTTAATTTAATAAATGGTATCTATTTGCAATCACATGGACTAACACTGACATTTTGTATTGCATTCCCTTTCCCTACTGTAATATGTTTCATTGTTTCCGATAGGTTATGCACGACATTTCTATAAAGACGTCCAAGTATTCAGACTTTGCAACCGGCTGATATAGTAGTTACAAAGAATGTTCATGTTTGAAAGTTGAATAACACTATCCATATAGGCCTACATTATATACCTTTACAACAAATGTATAATAACCTGATTTCTATGAGCCATATTTGGGTGATAACTTGCGGTATATAAAAATGCTAAACTATCTTGCACCGTAGGCCTATAAAAGATGATAGAGGAAGAATCTTTAAAAAAAAAAAAGGTAAAAGAAGCTGAAGGAGAAAAAGAAAGAAGGCACAAATGAAATGAGAAGAAAGGATACACAAAGGAAGGAAAGTAAATATGGTGTAAAAATGCGGGGGATACTGCTGGTGATGATGGTGACAAGGGTTATGGTCATGATGATGACGATGACGATGACGATGAAGATGATAATGAAGAAAGAGGATGAGAAGGAGAAAAAGAAGAAAGGGACGAAGAAATATGATGGAGGTATTGATAAAAATAATGATGACAGTAGTGACAATGGTGAAGATGACAATGAATAAAAAGAAAGATGAGGAAGATGAGCAAAAGAGGAGGAAAAAGAAGAAATGAATATGAAAGAGAAAATAGGAAAATACGAAATATGAAGAGGAGAGAGAGAGAGAGAGTGGGGAAAACAAGAAAGAAATAAGAAATACCCGTAATATACCTTTTCAATGAATCTCTTTCAAGCTTTTCAAATGTTAATGTTTCCTCTATCATCCATCCATTGCGTCACTTTCCTGTTCGTATCAACCACAATTTCGAATAAATAATTGTAAAAATGTGTAAAAATCAAGCATTAACTCTACGAATTGAAGGGGATAGTAACTGTATGTATGAATCCTTTATTTGTTGAATGACCATCACAATGATTAAGGAACCAGCGATGCCCCTTCCCCAATGGAGCCCATTCCTATCCAACAGGTGTTAGTCTTTACCCATCAAGGTATGTATCGTGAAGCATCTTTATAGCCCGCCCTCATGCACCTCTACATGACAGGTCTTGATCTACCAAAAGACCTAAAATGGTTAATAGTCCGATAAAATGTTATTGCTTTACTGTAAATTCGCCTTCTGAAATGTAGTTAGAAAAGCCGACTTAAATGTAAGCCTGATTTGTATCAGGCTTACATTTTAAGTCGGCTTTTCTAACTACATTTCGGTAAAGTTAATTATAATTCCTCAAGGAAAGCATTTTTTTTAATTAAAAGAGGAAAGTCGAAGCCCTATATAACTAAAACCGAAAATGAATATAATGCCCCTTGTTATCTTCTTCTGTACACAGAATACGACGATGAAAAGGCTTATTATGGGGACATAAATATAAAAATGATAACTCTGAACGCAAATCTGCAGTTAATTTGGCACCTGTTCAAGATTAATTGTGAATTAAACAATCGCCATTTAATTACTTCAAATGCCAGTCATGCCTCTCAACATTTAAGATTTAACCGGTGCAAGACCACGCACGACATAGCTTTGTATACCATGCTCAAGGTCGACATATAGCTTTCATCCAGTTGACGTCAAAATGGGGAAGGAACAACATAACAACAAACAATAATAACTGTCAATAAATCATTATTCTTATGCAACATAAGAAACAAAGAATCCAGACAAAAAGAATTCCACTGAGTTGCAATACTGTAGTCACCCTAAAGTCATTGCATCAATCAATCTCAAATGTGTTGAACAAAGTTTATCGCGTCCTCACATTGTTAAAATGCATAATAATGCGCTGTGGTTAGTTGCCAATAATAGTGTAGGAGCTGATTTCGTCGGCTTCTTCATTTCATATGATCAAGATAACTGTTGGAAGCAGCCGTTGAGCTAATAATGCTACTACATGTAGAACTGCGGAGCGATTGCTGCTGATATCCAAGTTGCGTTTCCGGCAATATTTTGCATCACTTTTGTTTTCAAAAATTACAACAACGTCGATAAGTATTTCGCATAATGTTATCACTTATTTGCCTCCTTCACATCAATATAAACATTATTCAAAATAGTCTTGAGTTATCATTATCTCCGATTTTAGTCGTCAGCCGGTTCCACAACTCCCGGTGATCGCTGGAGAAGCAAAACCAGAGCTGTCGCTGTTGTACAGATTACGAATACTACTAGTAACACCCTGTCTAGAACCTGTGCCACTTTGCCCCAGTCCGATTTCAACTGGTTTTGTCTCTCCCGCTTCTTTTGCAGGTTTTTCATATGTTTAAAGATGTCGCCGCAGCTTCGTTCGAGTCGTGCCAGGCGCCGGTCCTGCATTGACTCCAACTCGCCCATCCCGCCGCCAACGTCCCGGTCTTCGAGTAGCATATCGGACTCATTACCCGGCGTCGTCGCCGTGCCGAAACGAACGTGCATGCTGTTTCGACTGGGCGTTTGGTTGTATTGATTTAATGTGGCATGCCCGGTTTCTGTTCGCTGGTGGCTGCCATTTTGAAAGTTGTTCGTGGTGTAATGGCCGCCATATTGTCTGTAGTCGGAGCTATCACGTCCTGATCGCCGCGAACCCGATGAGCAGGGTTGCACACAGAGCACCTTGGCGATGTAATCGAGTGCGAAGACGCGAAGCCAACGCGGGACGTCTTGCCCTTCAATCTTTCCACGCTCGTTGACGTTCAATACAAATACATTCATGGCGGTAGACAGGGATATGAGGAACATAGTGGCAGCGTAATATTGTCCTGTTGGAAAACGCGGGAAAGATAAAAGAAATGATTAATAATTGTTAGATTTTTTTTACCAAAGAAAATATAAAACGTTTGTTTAGGACGTAGAATCATATGGAATTTCAAAGGTACTATGTCCCATTTGCAGGCCAAAATAATGAAAAGGTTAAATTCCAACGGCATTTGAAAGATAATACTAATTTAGAACGGCTTAAATTTCACAGATAGGACATACGTGACATATTCATAATTCTTGTAGAGTTCTACATAATTTGATGCTGGCTGCAAAAGGGATACACTACCTTTAAACGTCCTTAGGACGTTTTTTTAAACGTTTTGTTAACGTCTTGTGCATTTCCTTGGACAGATGTGTCATGAAAATTGATTTTTAAACCGCATGGTAATATGTAATACAGTTTGAAGGCTGCAAAATAGGCCTACATGCTGAATTCTCATTGTCACTCTTCGAGATCCCCAGGTTCTACAGATTTCAGATTTGCCATTCAACAAGGTCAATGACGTTTAATCGGACCCCCCCCCCTTCCCTGATAAGCCGACAAAGAAGATGACAACAGCTCAGTAGGCTAAACTTGGCTATTAATGTTAATGGAGGGTCACACACTTCAGCCTCCATTGCTCTAATGGGGCGGTCACGTAGGGGACGTACGGGGGACGCACGGCCCGCGCATTGAAAATTTGCAATTTTGGCCAGTGCGTTGTGGTTCTTGAGCATGCTCAAAAAATCCCGAAGCATACTGCGAATGACGACGAATGCATAGCGTTGGTCTAGCGTTGGTCCAGCGCGCTCGACGAACAGTAACGAATGACGACGCACACCTAGCGAACGACAACGCACTGTCCAAAATTGCAAATTTCCAATGCGCTGGCTGTGCGTCCCCCATGCGTCCCCTATGTGTGACCGGGCCTTTGCCCTAACGGTTGATAGGCTTACCAATGAGAGGGACTTGTTCCGACGTCCTGGGCATCATCTCTGCAACCAGCAGCAAGAACACCGTCAGCGACAAGATGAGGGTAACACTGAGGGAGACCTTCACAACACCCACATCATAAGGCATAAAGAAACCCAACATAGACAACGACGAAAGCAGAATACAAGGCATGATCAGATTGTAGATGTAGTAGAGCGGTTTCCGCCTCAACCCGATGTAAAACGTGACGTCATGGTAACGTTCGGGACAGCACTCGTATTTGACGTTGTGACGCCGCGAGACGGCGAATTTGAGATCCCATTGCTCGTTGTTCACGAAGGTCGAGAGATCGGGTGCCTCGGTGTGCTTGTCGAGGCTCATCTGGAAGCTGTTGTAGGTCCAGGAGCCGAACTTCATGCTGCACATCTGCTCGTCAAAGGGGAAGAATTTGACATCGATCTTGCAGGTGCTCTTGACCAAGGCCGGCTTGGACCAGAGGTCAACCCTGCCATCTGCGTTGACCAGAGCGTTGGACTGGCGACTATGTGCCACGTAGTCGTTGGAATCGGCGCTATTGAATGATAACAGAATATTATTTGTATTATTTGTACTGATAACAGAAAATAAGTGTAGATACACATTTAGAAAATAGAAGGAAGAGAAAGAGAAAGAAAGAGAGAGAGACAGAGAGAGAGAGAGAGAGTGCATAGGGAAGGGGTGGACGGATGGAGGGGTTTCATTCATTGGCGGATGCTTTATCAGTGCTAAAAAAAAACAATGAGGTTGGCATCCAAATCAGCTCTCATTTTTGCGTTAAAACAAATTAATAGATTTGATTTGACTTATGTATTTATTATTTATTCGGCAATTCACAACAAATATAACAATGTAAATATTAGTAAACAAACATTAAAGGAATGTCAAATGTAAATGCACAATCTTACTGGAGGTCCTCTGAGTGCATCAGTAATGTTGGTTGCCGGGGAAGAGGAACGCAAACTTAATCACTGTAACCGTAATGGTCCCTCTTCCCGACCAACTGGTGCACCCAGAATACCTGTAAAATATAGCATGAAGGTAAATAAAATGTATAATATTTCATAAACAAAACAACTTGCTTATTAAACATTCACTCTCCCGTCAAACTAAAGGGTTGCCTACTTAATGATATGCGTCAGAATAGTAGAGTAAACATCAGCGGCCAAATATGACACCACTTTTGCTGAAAAATACTTTAGGAGGATGAGAGGAGGGGGGGGGGGGTGGGGGCATAATGAATATTTTCCGTTCGTGCTGAAAACCATTTGTACTTGTTCTTCACACGGGAGAGGGGGAAAGGGATAATGATATCCCACGTATACCCAAGACCCATTGAAGTGTTATCACATTCAAACCGATAGCAACTGAGGGAGGGGGGGGGGGGGGGGGGGGGGGCTGGAGGCGTACCCCGGCTTCATCGATGGATGGACATGCAAAACTCATGTCTTATCGTGCACAAACCATGCACATGCAGATCTCTATGGCAACTAAAAGTTATAACTTACTTGCCACAGAACTATATCGCAACTAAAAAGCGTTGGCTTACAGTCATAGATTTCCATGGCAACGACAAGTTATAACTTACTTGTCGTAGAGGGTGACGTCAGGTAGCCAGATCTCCGTGGCAGGGATGCGCAATATTTCGATTCCTTCATAAGCGTCTGGATCCCAGACTAGTTTCTCATCGTCCCAATGCTGATGGCAAAATGAAGACACATTTGTTATCTATAAAGACTATCTATTATTCAACACTCATATTACTCTCTTGACACTAATAACTATGCCTTCATACATAATTAGGCTAAATGTTCTAGACATTTGGTCGCGGTGAACTAGAGATAAAAACCTTGTATGTAATCATAAACAGAACTTCATTCGTGTACTATGAAATGGAATATCATAAAAATGAATGTAAACAATTCTATACTTGTTTCTATTATTATCATTACTTCTGTAACCAGTATTACTATATTTTTACTATCATCATCATTATTATCATTATTATTATCATCATTAGCATCATCATTATAGCAATGGTTATCATCATTGCTATGATTACTGTTATTATATCATTTTTATAAATTACTTTAAAAAGAAAATCAGAATTCCTTGGGTCATACCATTCATATCATGTACACTAAAGTAAATTTATTGAGTATTTTCCTTCGGTCTTACCTGTTCTATCCATACGTTTATAGTCAAAACCTGATTTCTTTCGTCCTGAAAATAAAGAAAAATTGAAAAGAGAAAACGATACAATTTAGTCATCTTATTCAGTATTGCGGGAAACAAGCAAGACGAAGAGAACGAGCGGGGATATACAAAAAAGGGCCACGAGAGGGACAGAGAGAGAAAAAAGGAGAGAATAATGGAGAGAGAAAGAAAAGAGAGAGAGAGAGAGAGAGAGAGCGAAAGAGAGCGAGAGAGAGAGAGCGAGAGAGACAGAGAGAGAGAGACAGAGAGAGAGAGACAGAAACAGACAGACAGGAGTGAAGAAGACGAGCGTGATAGCATGGAGATATACAAAGAGAGAGAGAGGAGAGAAAGTGTAAGAGGGAGAGAGGAGAGAAAGTGTAAGAGAGAGAGAGAGAGAGAGAGAGAGAGACAGACATAGAGAGAGAGAGAGAGAGAGAGAGAGAGAGAGAGAGAGAGAGAGAGAAAGAGAGAGAGAGAAAGGGGGTTGGAAAGAGGGAGGAATAATACGGAATAAGAAAGGTACATTGTCAATAAAACACAGAATAGTGGTCAAGTTTAGTTGTTTTCTCCGAGAGGTTATACAAACACAATTACCGAAAATATCAACTGTGTATGGACAATGATTGAGAACACAAAAGTCATGTATTTTCATTTGGACACCACACATAACAAAGTTCTCACTCCTTGTCGGACCAAAAGGAAAGCACTAAAAATGTTTAGGAACACGAGGCCTTGGGTGGTGTTAAAACTCTCGATATATCTCAAAAAGCGTTTCATAACAAACACACTGTTTATATACACTAACAACATTTTGAGTGAGTCTTTGACTGCCTAATTACTGACAAGAATTATTTCAAAAGGTCAGAAGAAAGCAGTACTGACATCATAATTTAAACTTGCAAGGAGAGTGGGGGCAGGGGCGTCAATATAGGCGATTAAGGTTGCAAGGGCCTAAGGGATATGATACCCGAATTTGAATTTCGAGTGACAAAATTAGAAGGTCTCAAGTCTCGCTAGTTTAGTCAGCAGTGGTCAGTGAACCCCGAATAGCAGTTATACCTTCATTTTTTTTTCCTCTTCTGA